AATGCTTTGCACAGAAGTCATGATTTACCACTTTGTAAACGTTTCCCATCTATATGTAGTTTCTATACCCTGCGAACAACACCCTTGTGAGCTGTACGACGATCAGACCAGCTGCATTATTGAAATACAACACATTTTGCGACCTATTGTTTTACAGTATGAAACCTACTTTTCCTGGACTGTGTCAGAAACTGCCAAGTATATGATCAGTGAATCCGCAGCCTTTGCTGGGTTATTTCTGTGTCCCTTAGGTTGCTTGTCAAGCTTCATCTGTATAGCTTCGCATTACATGCAGTCTTCTTCATCCGATCCACAGAATCGTAACCCAATAGTAAAATATTTTGGGGATTTTTGTATGAGTGAAAGATGGGCTGGAACACATCTACTGCACCAGAACTTAAAGCGTAGCATCCATTTTTTAAGCGCTCAGTAACTCAGAAACTGCAAGCACTGAGAAACAATAAAGTTGTGCAGTGTTTGTCAGTCTCTCTCTATCACCCTCACCCTCCCCCATTTCCCCAACAAAATCTAAGGCAGGTGTGGACTTCAACTGTACATGAGTAGAACCAGATGAAAAATAACATTTAAAAAGTCCCATTAACTTCCTTGAGAAATAGAAACTGACTTGGAGGTTTCCTGTATCTCTGTCCTCCATGGGTATAAGCCAGTCAGTCGCTTTAGTGTCAGTCTTATCAGGTTTCAACATATATAAAAAAATATTGGGAGTACTTTTTATTCTGCACCACTTCCATTGTCTGTGATTGAATACTGCACAAATATCTTTACCTAAAAAGGGGCACAACAGCTCCTTGGAATCCTGAGGTTGTGACAGCTCCACCAATGCGGGGTTGATTTGTGTACATAAAACCAGGCCAAGAGCTGCCTGGTGACATGGGCAAGGCTACAGTTCTCTTATTTCAAGTTGTCTGTGTTCAAACCAGATGCCAAGGATGTAATTTTGAAACGTCTAAATAAACAACAAAAGCCTTCAAATTACACCAACCAAATCACCCCTAGTATTTTGTCCTTTGTTTGAATATAGCACTAAGTAATGCTTTTTTAAAAAAAAAAATCAGATAATCTGTCTGGAATAGCCAAGGTTGAAAATGTACCAATTGGAAGGTATTTTATCTGCTAAAGATCAGGGGTGTGTATTACTGTTAATTAATGAGTATGGAAAGAATGGTGCAAAAAATTCATCAATATTGAAACCTGCAGGTAAACCCCTGTGAGTCACACTGACCCGCACCAAGGTCTGGGGAGGTGATCGGGTGGGTCAGAGCAGAGGTTTGACGTGCACCGAATTTTCCAGCGGGATTAAGATATTTGTGGATCCTGTGCACACATCCTGTTACAGTTCTCCTACACTTTAGACCCTAGTGTCTATAGGCACACATTTAAGACCCAAGGCCCATTCCCAAGGCCTATTGGGACTCTAGTCTTAAATGAAAGCTGCGGAGAAAGAGCAAGGCAAGTCAAAACACTGAAACTGAGCAATGATCCAGTCTCTGCTTAAAGTGGTGATGCTGCCACATTATTGGTAGTTTGTGGACTGGCTCATTTACTGCAAAAGCTATCTCTGAAAACCTTGTTAGGAAGCAATTAGTGCCAGAAGAGTCCTAAGTGTTTCATCATGACGTTGCACACAAGTGCAACAAGGCACCGTTATTTTTAGGGCTCCAAGACGCCACCCCAGGTAAATGCAAGTTGTTGTGGTGGTGAAGTTCACAGCATTGCATTGTGGTTTTTTTTAACAGGTGAAAGCAAAGATTGTCAGATCTATTTTTCTGAAGAGAGTTCCCCATTAAAAAACATTTAATTCAAGGAACTTGCAAGCTCTGGTTCAAATACAGTGTCTGTGCTGTTCACTGTCAGATCCTCCATTTGCACCTAGTTGCATAGAGCAGAATAAGCCATGGGAGGACAGAGAGAGGTGTTTTACACTGGGGCCAAATAAAACAAAAATGATCACCTAAATTTAACAATCCTGCATTTCATTGCCCTGCCTGCAGTTAACTGTTGCTTATTTTCTTCCCCCTTTTCACATGTTTTATGTCCCCCGGGCATTTGGCCTCTTGTCTGTTTGTGTAAGAAAGTTTCTCGAACCAGGATCACAGAGGAAAGCCTTCAAGCAGCAAGATGTGGCAGCAAAACTGGACACTTGGGTAGAAAAGTTTGCTTCTTTGTACAGCAAATGTGGCAGATATTTTGTAAAGAAAAAAAAGTCTGCTTCTGATTAATGGAACAGTTTAAAATATACCAACCAATAGAACAGATTGTGGTGTTATAATGTGTGGTTCGCAGATGCATTTCAGTTTGTACAAACTGGAATAACAGGATGAAATATTAACTGGAGATCAGTTCGTAAGTAATTGAGAATCTTAAGTCAATCCAATTCAGATCAGCCGGTTTTCTCTGAATTTCCCAGTTTGGATCAGTAACTTTGGGCTACACTGGCTGGTCAGTGCCAAGTTTTATGAATACAGATTAAAACTACGGAAACTGTGCTGCACAAAGTTGGAGAAAGAAGATTCAGAATTCTGGAAAGCAGAGCTCTTTTGAGTCCACTTTCCATTTCAGATTCGGTGAGGCATGCTCCAGATCTGATTGCAATTTGGAATGAGCTAACCGTGCTTCGAATCTACATTCTGATTGAGATTCACTCAGCTATGTGACTCTTGAGTGTTGATTCCATTTTAAATCTGGTCTTAAGTTTTTTTCTGAGTCCTTCTTCGATTCCTTTTTATTGTGAAAATAATGAACTTCACAACCAAAACTTTTAACAGCTTGTATACGTACATATTCATTTGTGGTAGAATTATTGCGAAAGTAGTAGTTGATTAAACTCAGAATTTTTTTTTAAAAAGATCTTTTCTCGGGGTTTCTAAAGGCATGTAGAACAAATGGGCAGATCATTACTGGGAAGTGGCTGAGCCCAGTGCTTTCAGTATTAACAAATCAGCAGGAAAATACCATACATGGAAATCCTTCTGCTTTAAACAGTTGAAGTAAACACAGGACTTGCAGGAGACTTGCAACATTTCCAGAAAGTTTGAACCAAAGGTACTGAAACTTTTGAGCTGAGCATGTGGAAACCTCACAGTGTGGATTAAGCACAGTAAAAGGCACAGTTGACTTTCATCAACTGTGTACTTTCATCAACTTGACAGTTTGTGTTTTTTTTACCAGTTCTTAAATATTTGAGACACTTAAGTGAAATGCTTATCGAATTTGGAATAAACCGTAAGGTCAGATTGTTGTCTTTAGTGCACTATTTTCCTTCAATGCATCTGTATATTTTTTTAAAATAATGGATCCCATTAATCTCATGGGCTAGTTTGTGGTGTGTCTGGGTGCTGGAGGCGGGTGTCAGTGTGGATGCTGATAACCAGTGTACTCCATGTCATTGAAGCGTGATGACCTTCACGTTGAAGGATTAACAGTGGTGTTGCCTTACCGCACGTTTTATTGAGAATAATTCATGTTTGAGTTAGTAAATGGAGGATTCGATGGTTGATATATATCTATTTAAACAGTAAGATTTCTAAGCGATATAGGAGAGTTGTTAAACCCTATAAAGGCCGCTTTTACCATAACAAGTTCTTGTAATAAGGAGGTTTTATGGCTACCGCCGCCAGCCCTAAACTATCAAACTGTTAGTATTTCTACGGCACCTGTGAGATAAACAGGAAAACCTCAACATCCTGTTCTCTGTAAATGTGCACATTGCTCTTGACAGGATAGCAGTTTCGCTGTGATGATTGTCAGTTTCCATTCAACCAGTCTTGTTTGTCTAATTTTATTTCTTCGCTTATTAGCAATTCACAGTCCTTGGTTCTTGTCTGTCTTGAGATGTCCCTTAACACAGTTGCAGTCTATCAAGCTTAATCTGTAAACGGCCTCGACCAAGGTTTTGTTGTTAAGCCAGCTGCTTTTAATGTTCTACAGCATTTCTAGAATAACCAGTAATTAAATACAAATGCTGAATGTGCTGATTTTGCAAAATATCCGCATTGAGATGCTGGAAATTGTAGATTTCAAGTTTTGCCTCTTTTAGTGCATCTAGTGTCAGCATCAAGCACTCCTAGGTTAGAGGAAAGGTAATATAATTCACCCGCTGTTGTACCCCACACTGACGGATGGAATGTTCTTATGGAATGTTGGTATCCATTTCATTGCGGTCTTATTCCAAATAGCCATCAGAATACGTCTTCTGTTTTACATTGGCAAATAATCTTAGTTAGAGATCATGGATTTCCAGAGCATGGTAATATCTGCCAGAATTTCATTGGGTTATTGGGAAGGAGATAGTGTGGTAAAAGTAACAATGCAATTGTTTCCCTGTGGTCAAAGAGTCAGAAGGGAACAAACACAAGAAAACAGTACTATGAATGCTCAGATCAGTTAAGGAGACTTAACTAAAAGCTTTCATACTCTGCCCATGGCTCAGATTGTTGTAAGCCACTACCTTGTGAGAAGCGGAGCCATATTGAGCTCAGGCAGACCCGAGGCTGCGTTGAGTTCGCTGATCTCTGGGACTTAGTTGGAACATTACAGTTGGACTTGGTTTCCCTGAACTCAGGAAGTAGAAAATCACCCAAAGTTCCCACTCCTGTTCGCTATCCAATGATGTCCCCCATAGTTTAATAGTCTGCCAACGTTCAGTCCCTGGCTCATACACTAGGGCACTTGGGCAAGGAATCAGAGGGCAGCTGATGTCTATGGAATCAACATGAACACCTTCAGGAAAGAAGGGAAGAGAATTTGAGAAAGGGAGGTGGATCTGAGGTAATTCAAGATAGATTTGGAGGTATAAATGTGTAAGACAATCAACATCAAATTACATTTGCATAGCACCTTTCACATCAGAAGAACGTCCCAAGGCGTCCCTAATGGGAAAGGTGGATTTGAATGGATGAGCATCGTGACCCTGTTTCATATTTATTGCATTAATGTGTATTGACATATTTATCAAGTAACCTTTGTGCTTTGATTTCTAGTGTAAACGAAAATCACAACTAGAAGTCCAATGGCAAGCAACAACACTGCAAGCATAGCACAAGCTAGGAAAATGGTTGAACAGCTGAAAATGGAAGCCAATATCGATAGAATAAAGGTGAGAAAACTACTGCTACAGCGCTGCCTTCCATTCATATAAATTTAGTTTTTAAACTGTCCTTCCCAGATCATTTAAAGAATTATTTTTTTCCATTTGCAAATTACAAAGGTCCAATTATGTACTGAGTGTATACTGTACAATAATGAGAACAATGACTAACTTTGCTGGTATTTCTGCTGATCTGCTGACAAAATTTGCAAATAATCCACCCACATCTTTCTCCGTATGAACTTTCCAGCAATGAACTTCTCCATTCAGTAGAATTGCTGACTGTTCAAAGGCATGAATTGACAAATGTCTGAATGATACCAGTGTCTGATAAAATCATGTGTATGAGGGATTTGAATTTTCAAAGCAAACATGAGCACAGATAGAAAATATAAATACGAGACAACATTGAACCACAATGAATCTCCCAAACTATTCCATAGCAAGTAGTGTAGGAATATAAAAATTATAGAGAAATATAAATTTTACTGTATTAATTGACGAGCACATAATTCACTGATTCAAGTGGACAAAAGTTACGGATCTTTTGCGCAAATGAAACAAATCCAGTAATAAATAGGTGAATGCCAGTATAGTAATGTCCTGTTTGTTATGAAAACAAATCATGAATCAGAAACATTTTAAGAATCTTGTCGCAACATTTTTAAATTTTTTGTTTATATTAAAAAAAGGTGGAGAAGCATGACCATTGGTGATTTACACTGTAATGATGAGGTTTGAGAAACAGTTCTGCTTTTTGTCTTTCTGATATTAGTGTGTAGCTGGCTATTCCATTCTATGAAATGGATTTGGCCTATGGGCAGTCACACTGCAATGTGCACGTGACATTAGAAGTGCTATTTATACATGTGTGAAGTAATTTTTTTTAGGTTTAAAAACATTGTAAATTATTCATATTTTCAGAGCTTGATGGTAAAAATTGGTTATTTTGGGGCAATGGTGATTTGCTCCCAGGAACACATGATAGGCTGTAGTCACCAGGCAAAATTATATATTTTTTTAAATACCCACATCAGGAAAGGTTGCCCAATGTAGTTTAAACTTATTTTTGGATGTTCAGTGCTCTGAGATGCTACCCTCCGTGAAAGGTTCTATATATATGTATATATATATATACTTGCAACTTGTGGTTCTAGCACATGACTCTTACACACATAATATTTGTGAAGCAAATTCTCCCTTCATACTGGTTAGCACACTGAAATTTTTTAAAAAGTTTGTGTGCAATTTTTAATGTCAATTCATTTTTTCTGTTAAGGCAAATCCACCTGATCTTAGCCTGCCAGTCCAATTTGTCTTAAAATCTTAAGATTGCACTGAATTGTGGAAAATTATTCAATTGAGTCTCAGTTTGGATGACAGTTTTCCATAGTTCTTAAAAAGAAGTGTGTTCAAATTGAGACATTTTTCTCAATTCTGTGCCATATGTATTTTTACAAAATTAACTAAAGTTACAACTGGAGAATCACCATTTTATTTTAGAAATACAGTATTGCCAAGGAAGGAAACCACTAGCTACAGCACAAGCAGAAAGAGGAAGCACAGCAATTTAAAGTGGTCTGGGTTGAGTTTTTATGTTTTTACTGTGAGGACGATGAGTTTGAAAAGAGAACTTGTTTTTCAAATGTTACATGTGTAAGAGGTAAGAGTCGCACGTTAGGCCAACCCATGCCACGTCAAGATGCGTCCTCCGCCCCCCCCCCCAGCCATTTGCTGAAGTCTTACGTAAGACTGTGTTTGACTGGTGGTGTTTTTCCAGATTTTTCACAAAATATTCAATCAAGAAAATTTATTTTGTTGGCCGACCAAAAAAGGTTGTCCACCACTGTATTAGGACATTCCCAAAAAAGTTTGAAACAACACTGTCCAATTTTTCCGGTTGTGAGTTTTTACAAAGTACTTACTTAATTGTAAAGTAATTCCCTCCCCCCCCCCACCCCTGAATTTGGCTTTCTGAGTTGCACATGGAGCATGGATAGGAACCTCCTAACTTCATATGTATATACAGCCTTCAGCAGGTGGATGAGAGCTTAAAACATCTTTGTCTCCCTGCAAGGAATCAACTAGACTCTGCCCTATGACGGCCTCAATACCACAGTGTATTCCAGGCACAACTGCAGGCACCATTTTTAAGCCTACTCAATTCATCTTCTATTGACCATAGCCTTAATAAATCTGATTCAGAAGCTGAACGGTGCTGATGGAGTGGACTGGAGAGATTTAATGTGGTTGTAGCAGTTCATGTGTCTAGTTACATTTAAATCCTTCCAAAATAAAGTAATCTAATAATAATTATGCATTTCCCAAGCTTATAACCAGTATATCTGGTTGATACAATGCAGATATTTTCTGAATAAGCAGGTGTCAAATATAACTTTTAGTAAGCTTAACTCCACATAAAATCAAGGGCTCTGAACCTGATCACTTCATGTGCTCCACAGTTAATATCTAGGTCTATTTTGAAGAGTCACAAGGAGATATGTTATATTTTAGGCTGAATTTTGGATGCATTCCAATTTAGTTAAATTTATATCCTTATTTCATATACTTGTAGCTTGTTGACATTTTCTGGGACAAAATTAGAATCTGATACTGCTTGACTACTCTTCCTTCTGCGGTGGCAAATTAAAATCGTCGCCTCCTAACGCAACTGCATGGAACAAACACTAACCAGACTTGTACCTTTGCATTTCAGGTGTCCAAAGCAGCTTCAGATTTGATGGTGTACTGTGAAGCTCACTCTAAGGAAGATCCTCTACTGACACCGGTTCCAGCATCAGAAAATCCCTTCAGAGAGAAGAAGTTCTTCTGTGCTATTCTGTAAAGGGCAGATGGGCCTGAAAAGCAGGCTGTTTCGAACAGTGATGTAGAATTTTACCAATGTGGACACATTCCTGTCTGCAGAATTTTTAACAAAGCCTGGAAGCTACAGGGATTGTGCATGTCTAAGGATCTTGTCACCTTATCGGGAATGGAAGCAGAAGAACTACATCATGAAAACAGAGATTTTAAAACAGCTTAGAACGAAACAGTGTAGAGATAATGTGTCACATTTTTGCTCTTGCAAAGGGCATAAGTTATGTTTGATAGTTTGATGTGTGAAGTATGACAGTTGTTCTAAGCAAGGTAAATAACTGAGGAGTTGTATAATTTTGTTGGAATGATAATCGTTGTTCTTCAATATAATTTTTATTTAAGTTAAATGGACAAGTATTGAAACAAGGTAGATTACTGTGGTGTTGTACCTTAACATTTGGTTATGTGCTTTTTGCATTAGAGTAGCACAATGAAATGCTGGACTTTGCTTTGAGAGCTGAACTGCGAGGAAAGGAAATGTTACTAATAAGCATCTGGCTAATGATACGTCATTTGCGAATCACAAAAAGCTGCCAGATTGTGTAATTTCTTAGATTCTTATTAGTGCTTGTCTAACATTTTGTGTTTAGTAGCTTACAATTTCAGCTAGTATTAGTAATTCATGTGCTGTGATTAGTGATACTCATACTTGTTACACAAGAAGCAAACTGCATGAAAACATTCCAACCCATTGTCCTTTTATGAGTTATTTTGAAATTGTGTGATGTAAATATACAAACGTTAAGATTTTCATTTCAGATCCTAACTGCTGATGAAGCACAGCCTATTTCTTGAAGGTCATGTTCTCTTACTAATGCTTGTGAACACTATAAGATATAATATCTGTCATTTATTAAATCATTCTTAAGATGTTTACATCACCTTAAATATTGTAAAAAAATAATGTTTTATTGGAAACAAAACCTGCATGCAAACAAGAGTACATAGACATACATGGCAGCGTTTGAAAAGCTTTGATCACCGGTTTTTGGCAAATATCTTTGTATACAAAGTACTGCAAATACAACACAACTGCTAAAGGCGTTTCTCTTAGTTCATTGGATTTTAGATGGAAAAAATAATCATTTAGGAACTCTTTAAAAAAAATCTCTTGATGCAATAGTTGTGTGTATCTTTTTTATCCAACTGAAACAGCAGAAAGGGTTATTAATTAGCCAGTGTAATACGCAGATGGGCAAGCAGGTCTCAACTTCCCGGGATGGTCAGACGATTTTACCTCAGGCTATTTCACCGTCTTTTAACGAACCCTTTTGATATTTTCAGATGTGTATTTTTACTCTATTGATAATTTTATTAGATCTGCATGTGCTACCCACTGCCACTACACTGCCAAACAAGCCCTCTGCTTCATTTTCGATCCCGTAGACAGCAGTGATTTTACCATCGCATTGGCACACGCCAGCACAAAAAGGGGTGGGGTTACCGTCAAACAAAGCAAAATACAATTGCATTGAAAAACATTTGCCATTATTCACTTTATAAAATGAGAAAGATTGACATGTATGACTATGGATTGTTGAGTCTTAACTTTTCCGTAAACCTGTGTTCATGGCAGCAGTGAGTGGTAGTGGCTATGAGTCCGCCAGGAATGCTTTATATATGATAGCAAGAATAAAAGGGATGTGTGAATTTTCTTAAACTGAGTACATTGTAGAAATGTGTATCGTATTTCTGGTTGTACACCCTTGTCAGCTTTGAATAGGGAAACCTGGAACGAAGTATTGATGTCATGCACATTTTCATGCCATGTAAACAGTGTATCAGTTTTAAATAAAACCTTCAAACTGTTTCAATTGTAGATATCTTAAACCGCCTAGTATTGTACACGGTGTGCTTCTCTAATAAATCTGTCTAGAAATTACTGTGTGAATATTAAAAGATGATGATATCCTTTGCAACATTTGGCGCTACCATGGTAATACACTTGCAAGACAACCCGTTTGCAGATTCCCAGCCTGGTCACAATAAATCTGCGGGTGCACTATGTGTGTGATGATGACATTTGCCGGTTAATTTAGCTCATGTGTGGTGCAGAGGCACATTGGTGACGACGATTTTATCATTCATCCGGTTTCCCACCACTCCCAGCAGTCTGCAAATCCCAGCCAACGGGGTCCCAAGGCACCCAACGTGCTGAAAACACAGCCACTAGTCCACAAGGATATCCTATCGCCCATCGGATCTCAAACACGCCCAAGAGATCTCAAAATAACACAATAGACTACAAGGTTTAATTTGTCATATCTCAGAATTTTAGATGGCTGGGAGTATTATAGACTAATCTGTTGTAGGTCAGAATTCTTGACAGACACAATGCTGGTTTGAATGTTTTAGAGCCTGCAGTATATTTAGCATGGAAACAGAAAGAGGCATCCAGTATTTCACGCATTTCATACATTTTTAGGATTTCTTGCCGGAAGAACACAAACACAGTATAACAAGCTATACTTTTGAACTGCTTTGAGGGCTCCAGCTGGAAAACGTGCCATCTGGTGGTGAACTAAACAATGAAAAGAGTCTTCCTGACCTTTTCAGACTTGAGTACAGTATTCTGTTTAAACATAAAAGATATTTAAAAAGTTAACAACTATTACATGTACTAAACATTAAACAGCTGCTGAAAGTGTAATTGTTCAGCCTTGTACTTTAAAACTAAATGGCTGAGCAACACAATTTCATGTAATAGAATTGGCACAGATAATATATTATTCCGTCTAATTTGGGATTTTGATTTATAATTAATGAACAGCCACAAAGGTAGTTTCTCTCCTTGATCTTTTTATGTTCCAACCTTTATAAACTCCATATTGTAAAGTCCCTAAGTAGCTTCTCAGTCTGTCTGTAAGCTTTTTCCTACAAATTGGCAACAGTGACATCAGAATTTGGAATAAATGCTTCTGGCTGTAAGAATACTAAGGAGAAAGAGAGTACAATGACTGAAGCATGCTGTATATTACGAAACGCCAGACTTTGAAACACCAGGGGTGAAATATAAAAATAAAAAAGTATAGCTATCCTACTGAGCTCAAAACTCAAACAACTTTACAATTGACCATGGTGGATTTTTTCTGTAGGTTAACAATTCTAACTTGTTATTACTTAAGCTTGAGGAACAGTCTGATGAATGGGTCATGCATCGATTCAGAGAAAACATTCAGCGTACAAAGACTGAACTGAGCAAAATTCTCCACGACTGGGCCCCATTTCTGGGCAATTGCCAATTTCCGTCACATACATTAGCAACCTGCCTCCATGCTCCCTTTCTTCTCCCCCACCCCACAAACATAAAAAAAGTATTTCTTTAATAAAATAAAGAAACAAAGTGGGAGGATGTTCAGATATTTAGTGAAAATACACAGCTCAATTGTTGTTGAGAAATAACTTTTTTACTAGCCCACAGTTGCCTTAGGAAGATAGACTAGTGGATTTTCTAAATGCCTTCTTCATCCTACATTTTAATAATTTATCAATACAGCCATTGTTAGATATATCAAGTGTCAAACTGGGCTTTGTTTCACTGGGCACTGCAGAGCTTCACAAATCCAGCAACCTACTCCATAGAACGAAGCTATGGAACATAATTTAAAATAATGCTTGGTAGAAAGGTTACTACCTTCTTACCAATTTAAGGGTGAGGGAAAAGTTTGGTATTAATCCAAATATTTAAAAAGTGTTATCTGAGCATTTAAAAGGAACTATCCTGAAGCAATTCAACAGGATGTAAAACTTTCCTGCCTGTATGAGGTTTTGATATTCATCTTACTATAAATCATGTGAAGTGCTTTTGAGATATCTCTCAATGTGAAAAGTATTTTATCAAAGGCAAGGATTAATATATTACTTAATTTCAAATCTATTATGTTGTACCGTTCATGAGGTAAAAATACTATAATTTGGTAATGATATAAAATGGGTGCAACGGTTTGCTGCATTCTTTTGAGTTTTGGTCCTGTAAGCAATGTAAGTGCCTGTTAAACCATTGTGTAGTGTGAGTTTAGATGAGTTGTACAAACAAATGTTCAGAGGAAAATAATTCCAATGATGACAATGTAATCCCATCTTCATAGCATATATATAAAAACATTCTAACTATACTGTATTTAGAATTAGTGCCAGAAGTTAAAAATAGGAATTGGTGGATATCTTAACAATCATGCAGAATATATTTGTTGCCCAACTACAGATGTTGTGGTTTATATCTTACAAGTCTTCCTTAATACTCAATATGCCCAAAATATCATAATCTCCACGAACACATGTTAGCTCTTTCCGACAACATGAACTTCTAGGAATTTAGGGAATAAATAAGTATGGTTGCTGTCCTTTACCCACCCTTATTCTTGTATTGTTCGTGCTTTATCTATTTCTGAACCGTGTAAGCTTTGATCAGTTGCAATAAAAAGCAAACACTTTACTGACACAATAAATAATTCAGTAAAATAACACAACTTGATGGATGGACTTGGCTAAAATACCTCAATAGATTAGTGAGGTGTGAACAGACCATTTCGGACTGTAACGTGACGGTTTGGCCCAAAGCTGGCCTGAGGTGCTGATTGCTTCGAAGCTATTTCCGCCAGAGATTCACAGTATTTCAGCTAGTCTTTAATTTCCAAAGGGCACTGGGATCTTTAACATCTACCTGAGCAGACAGATGGATTCTCGGCTTAACAACTCATCCGATGGACGGCACATCGAACAACGCTTTGGATGGAGTGTCAGCCTAGACTAGTGTGAGGAGTTCAGAGCCCTGATGTGGGGCTTCGAACCCACAGCGTTCTGACTTAGAGGGGAGAATGCTATCAACTGAGCCTAAACACATGGGAAAGAAAATCGATGCATGTCCACACACACCGGCAACACTGACAGGTTATGAGCACGTGCGAAGGGAGCAGTGTGCCACGTGTTGACAAGGTGGTCCAACCTTTTGGCTGCTGAGGGCCGGACGATGCCAGGTTTGAAAAATGCCCGGCGGTGGGGGGCCGCAGAAGCAATACTTTTGTGTTTCCCCTCCAGAAACATAACCCGTGAGAATCATGTGGCAATCCCACGTTCTATATTGTGTAACCGCACTATTACGTAGGCCTCACTCTATTTTATGTGGAGTCCTGTAGCTCAGTGGTTAGAGCATTCGCTTTGCAAGTGAGAGACCTGAGTTCAATTCCAGGCAGCGGGAAACCTTGGGCAAGTTTCCTTACTCCACACAGAGCCTAATAATAATCCCTCCAAAAAAAAAACAATAATAAATTGGTCATTTTCAATCCATGACGGTTTGTGGGGCATTGCTGTGCGCAATTGGCTGCCGCGTTCGCCCACAAATATACAGTCAATTCACTTGACAGTGTGTTCTGTGAAGCGCTTTGGGACGTCCTCCCGACGTGAAAAGCGCTCTATCGAATGCGAGGATTATTATTATTATTATTCTAGTGACAATTAAAACCTTGAATAGGCACGTACGTAAAAATCCATACACATCTGAAAACCGAAGTACGCTTTTAATAGCTCACGTGCCACGTGAATGGGTCCAAATGGTATCCATTCAAGTGGCAATGATACAGTGCGTGACATGGGGGAGGGGGCGGGGCGAGAGGAGTGTCAATCACGGGCGTGATGCGTCGCCCCGACGCGATGACGGCAACGCGTCGCCCCGACGCGATGACGGCACCGCGTGGCCCCGGCGTCACGCGACGGAGCGGCTCGGACTTACCGGCTGTGCTGACGGCGGCTCCGCGTTGCTTCCCTCACTCGCCCGACCACCCACCCGCCCCACCCCTCCCCCCCTTCCCCCCCCCTCACCCTCGGCACCGCACACGCCCAACCACCGCGAGCTATCATGTTCCGGAGGAAACTAACGGCTTTAGAGTATCATAATAGCAGCGCGTTTGACTGTAAAGGTACGGAAGGAGAGGAGAAGCGGCGGCGGCGGTGGTGGGGTTGTGGTTTCAGGCCGTGTTGGCACCGGTCGGTTTAGGCCCCAGTGTGGGGAGGGGAGGAGATGCTGCAGCAGCGTTGTGTGGGTCCAGCCAACACCCTGTCTGGAGGGGGTGGGGGGGCAGCTCTTTCATCCCTCATGTTATGCAGTCCCCCCCCCCCCCCCCCCCCACGTGCCTGTGAATCATTTGAGTTGTTAACGAACGCAAACAATGGCGATTGATAATGATCTTTGCATTTTGATATAATAGGAACCCAGGAAATGCCAAAACAGACCCCGAGGTCCATCCAGTTCGCCTTCCACCACCCTATCCCGGCAGTCCCCCCGCCTGCACGTGTCACCGCCTGAACTGCTCGAATGCTGTATCCCCAAGTATTGTTGCCTAAAAGAAATCTTAGCTGATTTGCATTTGAAATCACGAATACTTTCTGGCCCAGCGTCTCCCAAGAGGGACTGTTGCGTAGATTTAATGCGTGTTCAGCTGTATACCGCCTTTCATCTCAGGTGGTCATCTCACAGTGGTTTACAGAGTTGTCTCGGACACCTAAGCTTGGGATGGGGGCAGTTGACAAAGTTGGGGGAGGAAAGGTGACCAATAGTGCATTCAAACAGAAAGGTCTTAAGGAAAATAAGTAAATATTCTACAAATTTTCCCATATATACAGAATAATTCCAATAAAACATTAAGTCCCAAGTATTTTATCGTTGATCAATGTAAATGTAACTTTGAGCTCATAGTTTGTGCTGAGTGAGAGAGTGTTGGAGTTGCTATCCTTTGGATGGGATGTTTGAGTTGCCATCTGCCTATTCAGATGATTTCCAAGAGAAGCGAGTTTGTCCTAGTGCCCTAGCCAACAACTTCCAAGTAAAATTGGTTATTCACTTTATGGCTGTTTGTGGGACATTGCTGTGCACAAATTGGTTGCTGCTGTCGCCTACAAATTCATAGCCCTACCACTTTACAGTGAAACCATGTGAAGTACTTTGAGGCATTTTGACAATGTGATGAAGCATTATATCAAATGCAAGAATTATTCATCTCTTCTCGCTCAGCTGTAAATCTTCACTAAAAGTAAACATTATCAACATATGAAGTGGTTGTATTGCAAAACTACAATACAAATAATGGTTATTGATATTTTAATGAGTTACTTTTGCTAGTGACATTAACTTTAAATTTGTTTTTGTTTCTTTGGATTCTCAATGCTGAAACTAGTAGTCTCACCTTAACATTATTTACGAGCATAATTGATTTATTTTGATTTATTTTCTTAATGTGAGAATGGTACTTGTTTTCTGTAATTCTGGATATGTTGGCCACAATGTATTTTTAACCTCTAACTAGCTTGTTGTTTCAGGTCCAGGGAGTGCTGGGAGGTCAGAATTGTTGTCAGATGAGAGCTCTTGGGAATAGGTGTATTCAAAAAAAGAAAGCAATTTATCCTGATGTTCTGGACAACTATTTTCCACATTAGTTGCCCTCACAGACAGTGACTACACTTGACAGACACTTTACCTGTGATGCGCTTTGAGACACTGATATCATGAGGTGCAATAAAAATTCAAAAATTTACTGAGGTTAACTGTTCGTCCTTCCTTCCTTCCTTCCTTCAGATGACATGGAATTTAAAAATGTAATTGTCTGGCTTGAAGATCAGAAGATAAGACATTATAAGATTGAAGAGAGAACCAATCTAAGAAATATACACAGTCTTGAATGGCCAAAATACTTTGCGAAGGTGAGCACTGCTTTGGAGAGAGAAGTTTGTGTTAAATATCTGTGTTTCTTCAAAAATCATCCAGTTTGTTGATGTGATATGTTTAGCAATGATTGGAGTCATCACCATTTCATACTCCATTATAGAGATGTAAATGGATTTGAGTGCAACTGATAGTGATTTCAGATTCCAAGATTGATATGTGAAATGTCGCAGAACTGATTTAGTGTTTATCTTGTAATGTAACCAGCTGCTGAGAGGTGTGTAATCGACAGTGGTTGGAATAAAGCTTTTCTTTTGCATCTTATAAATACTTATTGAGCACTGAACTTATAGCCATATGTCTTGACAAGTGAATTTGTCCTTTAAATTGGTGTGTAGACCTATGTCATTTTCAATTTATGTATAATAATATATAAAGTTATTACCACTACAATTTTAATTGTCAAAGTTGAATGGCATTATATATATATACATATTTATTTACAGGCTGACATTTCTGAATTATTTGGTAATCCACAATATCCATTTCGAAGTTTCAGGCACTATTGTAAATTTACTGTCCTATTTAAAATCAAAATGCAACCTTGATTTAGCTGACACTCTGTAGTGCTATTGAATTGCTGGTGATCTTCCAAGTTTAAAATTCAATTTTATGTGATATTTTATTTCAGTACCTCGCAGATGTAGCATGCCCATTCAAGGCTGAAGAAAAGCAGGAAAGTGTTGACTGGCTTCTGGGCTTGGCTGTGAGACTTGAATATTCAGATAATGGTATGTATTTTCTTCTACCACTTATTAAATATTGCTGATTATTTGTAATGTCCACAAAGGATAGAAACTAACCTTTAGACCTACTTGAATTGTGCGCTTTCTGTAGGAATTGTTTTACGACTGGTGTTCAATTCCTGTGTGTCAGCCTGGCTCAGTTGGTAGCACTCCAGCCACTAAGACAGAAGGTATATGTTCAAGGTCCACATTGGGACTTGAATTCATATAGACTATGCTGATACTCCAATTGCAGTGCGAGGTGTGTGCGGCATTGTCACAGGTCCCGTCCTTCAAATAAAACATTGAGGCAACAAAGTCGATAGCTGAAAGTAGAGACTTGAATTATGAGAAGAGGCTACAGAAACTGGGATATTCACATTGAGCAATCCAGCTTTTTCTTGCTGCTAATTCCCAATTCTGTCAATATCCTATGATGGTGCTGGTTATTGGTATCTGAGTTAATCCACAATTAACAACCAGAGAGAGCCTCTGACTGTTCATGATCTGAGTAAGTTGACTACAGTGTTCCAGTAAGTATATAGAACTGTGAGTTATCAAAGGTAATAATATTCCTTCCATTTGATATAACGCCTTTCACATTGGGAGGATGTCTCAAAGCAATTTAAAGGATTTATGGAAAAGTGATGGTGTATTTATAGGCAAATGCAACAGATGATTTTCTTCACACAGACAGAATGTGGACTTACTACCACAAGGAGGAGTTGAGGCGAACATTATAGATGCATATAAGGGGAAGTTTCTGTGCTGTATATTCTATGTAATTCTATGTAATAGATACTTGAAAAAGAGAAATTTAAGTCTATGGGTTAAGAGTGGGCGAGTGGGACTAGTTAGGGTAAGAGCGGGGGAGAAGGACTACTTGAGGTAAGAGCAGGGGAGTGGGACTAGTTGGGATAAGAGCGGGGGGAATGGCACTAGTTCCAAAGAGCTAGCACAGGCACGATGGGCCGAATGGCCTCCTTCTGTGCTGTAAGATTCTATGAAATGATTTGCGCAATAGCAATACCCTACAACTATCCGTGAAGTGATTGGCCAATTTTTATTTAAGTTGATATCTTTTTGATTTTATAGACATAGTTAAACTTGTTGCATATGTAGTGAATCATTTTGAATCCTTTTCCTCCCCCACAGTGGATAAATACAAGAATTGTACTGCAGCCAGTGTAAAAATTGCTCCAAAAGGTACAGATCCGCTTGTTAATTTGGATGGTAAGTGTTGAATTATTCCCTAAATGAGTAGGATATTTACCAAAGGACAGCTTATCTTAAGAGTAATGAGATGGTTAGTCACTTGGCCAAGTCTAGAGTAACTTAAGCTGCATATACGTGGTACACAATCCTATTTTAAGATGTGCTGTAGGCAATTTAACATTTATTGCAGCAACTCTTGCTTTGTTAATTCTGGTATAATCGACACAAAGCTAGAAGCTCAGTGTGCAAAATAAAAATTGTGAGTTTTGCTGAAATTTGTAGTACTTGCACATTGCATTGTCTTAGCCATACTTGTCAGAGCTAAATTTCTGAATTGCAAGAGAAGCAGACTGCCTGAAGAGGGTGCTATGTGCAAACATTATATGCACAGCGTTAAGATTGTGCCTCATTCCTTATGTAGTTTTTTTCAAACACGACTGTCTTTCAATTGTAGGTTTTTCAGTTGTGCTAGTGGGCTGATCAGTAAATGGAAGATTCTTTTGTTTTTTCTGTTCATCTACAAAACTTCAGCTATTTCTCTCTTATAGCTAACAATCCTGACTTTAAAGCTGGTGTAATGGCATTGGCCAACCTTTTACAAATCCAGCGCCATGATGACTATATGGTAATGTTGAAGGTATGTATTGGAATTAGGGATATTATACTGTGAGGTTTTAGTAATTTGAATAAAACAGTTCAGATTGTATATCATCGTATATCCTACTGGTGAGGAATTATTTTAACAAAAGATATGTATTAACACTTATAATAATCCTTGCATTTGACATACCATTTATCACGTTTTTCAGACATCTCAAAGCACCTCACAGAATATACTCTAAAGTGAAATGACTGTATATTTTGTGGGTGAAATTTCCTAAGATACACTTTCTAAGATACATATCAATACATTTGATCAATATACTTTATATGTAAATTGATATATTTATCTAATTAAGTTGCACTTTTGCTTTATTACTTGTACATCCATTTCTATCACTATTTACGAATTTACTGCAGTTAGAAATGTATTTTTGTGACTTTGACGATTGTAAGCCTTTCTAAAAGTCTGAGCGTAGCTTCACTCTCACAGCCTAGAGGGTAAAATTCTCACCTGATGTGGCATTAACCTACGTAGATCAAAAGGTCATAGGTTCAGTTCCTGGTCTCTGCTGAGTTATCTGATCTCAACCAAGATAGATGTTAAAGCACTATATTTGGCCTTTGTGCCCCTGGGCTTGGGAGGGGGAAATCAGTCATGGTTCCTGCACCTTCTTGCTAACCAGTGTGACCACTGCTAGAGGCAGCATGTGTCGATACCAGATGAAAATAAGGTAATGCTTTCTCCCTCTTCCCTTACAAAAATACCTTGTTTTACTTTTTCAAACACGATTATATTCACCAAAACAGAATCACTACACTTTGCAGTGTATCCAGTGAAGCATTTTGGGACATCCTCCCAATGCGAACGGCACTTTGGCTTCTGTCATGAAAGAAATTGGTGCAACCGATTCCTTGTTTTAATCCTAAATTATTAATTTTAAGCAAATGATATGACGTTAATTTTGTCACTCTACCCAAAACTTTCTTAGTTAGATTACAGCTGAACTGTAACCTGTCTATTCTCAAATGAGGTTTTCTCTTTCGGCCCCTTGACACGTTTTTAATTTGGTTTCAGGCGATTCGTATTTTGGTACAAGAACGTTTAAGTCAAGACGCCATTGCGAAGTCAAACCGGTCAAAGGAGGTAAAACCATATTTCCAATATCTGTTCTGAGCCAAGATTCATAATATTCTTTTGTTTCAAGTTTTATTCAGCATCATGAATACAATTAAATGAATGCGGTGAATCTTGCTGACTGAAAACTTGAATGTGTGTAACTATTTGTGTGTTTTCAAGGGTTTAAATATATGGCATTGTTTAACTGGCTTTTGGAATACCAATGCACTTTTTTCACCATGGAAGTTTTGATAAAATGGTGTTTACAATGTTTAATGTAACTCTGAGATCAATATTTTCAAGTCTTTAAAACAGAAATTTTATTTGTCAGTGTCTTTATTGCACCCTTGTTTTTCAGGGTTTAACTGTGTCCTTAGAAAAACATTTTCTTGGCTTTGATACTGGAGGTAAGCAACATTTATCATTAGTGGGATTGACCCCTAATTATAGTTTGTGAACATGTAGAAACTTAAATAGAGTAAATCACTCTCCCAGCCAGCTGTTACTGCTTGTTGTAACACAATTAAGGGGTTCTGTGATGTCAATCTGCAAGACAAGACTGAACTTCATGAAGTTATTGGAACCTTGAGATTGGATTACAGCAAACTGCAAGAACATATTAGAGCCTTGAGAATAGGCTGTGGCATTGCACAATCTACTTGTGCACGCAAGACTGAATACCTTTTGAGAAATTTCAGGTTAATTTTTTCTGTTTCTATTAAGTTTAGCTATTCATGGTTAAATTTGCTGATTCAAATGTGGGTCAAGTCTTGCCATCTATTATGTCAGCTCTCTCTGGGATAGATGTAAGCAAATTGTATTTCCTACCAACCTGCCTGCCCCCTCCTCTCAGCGGGCTCCGGCCTGCTTCACGTCCCCTGCCTTGCCTACCCCACCGCCTTCAGCCACTCTGCCCCCACCCTCTGGAACTCCATCCCGCAGTCCCTCCGCCTTGCCCCCTCCCTTCCCTGTTTCAAGACCCGTCTCAAGACTTTCCTCTTTGACCATGCCTTCGATCACCCTCCTTCCCCCCCCCACTGCCCTCCACCCTCCCCGACCTGCAGCTCGGGTCCAAAACAACAATTGTCCAGCGGCTTGGGACATCCTCCCACTGTGAAAGGCGCTATACAAATGTAATTTTATATTGTATTGTATTGCCTTTTCCATTTACGATATCAAGCTAGTTAGATATATTTTTGAGAGACAACTCATTTTCATTGTCTAGGTAGTAAACTACTTTGAATTTCAGCATATTAATGTACATGACACATCTATGGTAGTTGTAATATTTTCTGATGATCATATGGTGTGTTGTTGATAGATGCCACCTTGAATGAGGCTGCAACAATTCTGCGGTTGCTGCACATAGAGGAGTTACGAGACCTACAAACCAAGATTAATGAAGCCATCGTAGCTGTCCAGTCAATAATAGCTGATCCCAAAACAGATCACAGGCTGGGAAAAGTTGGAAGATAATCAACAGATGGAAATAGTTCACCATTTGTATAGCCTTTACAGTTTTTTTTTCTTTGAGATGTGAAAGGAGATGAATTGTATTGACCTGGATAATTAAATTCAACTGACATGAATGTGATAAATTTTTCAATAAAATTGATCCACTGTTAAATTAACTAATGAAATAAAAAAGTAAGTTTGTTTTAAGCATTATTAAATTGGAACAAAGCACAACAATGTGTGGTTACAAGAGTATTGTGTTTCATTAGACACTTCTAAGGTGTCATACAGTATTTTGTACAATGAATCTGACAGCAAAAGTATATAATTAACATTTGTTACATGACAATTTTACAATTTAAATTGGACAGCAAGGAAAAACTTTACATGGATTAACGCAACAATTTTTCATAAATGAAATAATATTCAAATACAAAATGACCATTACAAATACTCAATGAAATGCATTACTGTACATAAATCAGAGATTACAGTTGGCCAACAATTAACGGTGTAAGCTAAATGTTAGAAAAAGGATAACAATACTGTATAGATTATTGAATCATACCATTGGAAAATCCCACATTTTAATTTGCAAAGACATTCACAAACTGAACTTGAGTGAGGATACCATTATGGGTTCATGTGCTGTTGGTACCACTTGAAAATGAAACAGTTTAGATCAGAAATATAATAATCTCAAAAGAGCCTAACATTGTATACTGTTTAAATCTAATAGAGAGGCCTTTTACCTTTACCACCTCCAAGAGTATGTCCATGTTCCTAGTTACAGGGGGAAGGTTGTGACATTTCCTAAATGTTATACTGGGAAGTATTTGAAGCGTAGCTGGTCTTCATCCACTTGTAACCTTAAATTATGCTTCAAAAATACTAATTACAGGCAGTCTAAGATGAAACGTTTTGTGTAATGCTCCTTTGTGTGACATGAATAGAGATTGCTGCCCATGACTCAGTTTTTCATGCTTGTGGTTGCCAAATTGGAACCGAATGATGTCAGAGTATGCTATACCAGAAGGGGAGCGCAATAGAAAAGGCACTGAAATATTAGTTTTACCGTTGTCTTTCACAGCACTTGAGTATTAAGTGATACAATTATTTACATGTTTGGAATCTAGAATTCTGAAAATGACATTTAGATTTTCAGTTAATCAGTTCCATATTTCTGGGATCTGAGAATATGTGGATTGACTGCTTTCTGTTGTCCTATTTTATAGATTAGTTCAATTTTTTTTCCCCTATTGACAGTTCTTAACCACATAGAATGTCTATTTTAATCATTCATATTTAAAATTCAATATGCTACACCTAGGCATTCTGCAGGCCGTAAGATAAATGCTTCAGTTTAGTAGGAGTGAACTTTTTACACCGATACTTGTTATTAAGAGCAAGCGTGAAACAATTGAAACTCAATTTCTTACCTCCCCTGTTTATCGAGTGCTTGCTACGAGATTTTAGAATCCTTACAGATATACAGGCTGAAAACACCACTGGTCAGAAGTTCAGTAAGCAATCTGTTCTTGCAGGTGGAGAATTATCAAGAGATAAAACGGTTGTATAATGCATTGTAGCCATTTGGTTACATTTGCTATAACTTTATGTAGTTCAATAATATCTATCTAAAGTACTGTAACCAGTATTAAATAAATCTACTCATTATTTCAGCATACCTGACATTTTTTAGCCTATTTAGGCACTTTTAAAGAAAAATATGAAGGATCTATTGAGTCCGTATAACAGCACCTTTGCAACAATTAGAAAATGTTTTTTTGCGGCTTCCCTGATGGTTTAGTGGGTAAAAGTAATGCACAGTGTCTCTTGTCAGGCCTTGTGATATGCAGCTGTAAAATTGCATCCCTGGTTTGTACTATTAGCCAATTTCAGCCTAAATGCCAATGGACTCATGTTGCCCCTGAACGATTTTTGAATCACGTGTGTGAAGAGCCATTTGGGCAAGGTAGCTTGTGAAACAGTACCCCAATTTTATCTGGAGGATTTAGAAGGGCAGAGAATATTAAAATCATGCTGGTGCCCGAATGCTTTACATACCACAAGATTAATTTCACATTTCTGAAACTGAACATAAGGGAACCTTGTTACGAGCTTGGTCGACAGTCTCAGCAGCCACGATACAAATACGTTGTGAAAAATAGCTGAATTCTACATTGTCAGGTCAGCGCTGACATCACTTCTATCACACTGTGCTCTTATAAGTAGGAAACATTACTCTCTTGCAGTGCCTAGAATGTGACCTTGTCTTTGGTCTATCCCATTGATAACTAATCTCAGAATTCAAAACTATTCTCAAAGGGTGAAAAATAAATCACCATTGTAAACTTGCTGTTACAATATAATGTATAGGTCTTTAATAGATAATAGGTTTTTAATAATTAAAATTGATATTATAGCTGATCCCTGTTACTCCACGTAGGATCCCAGCTGAATTTGGTCAACAGGGAACTGACTATTCAAACCTAAAAATTCAAGTTCTTTCCATAAGGTCAAATTTCCTATGGATTTCTATTATTGGAACAGAATGAATCTCTACCAGTACTGTTTTAAGATATAATATTTTGCAGTTGAACAGTAACACTTTTGGTAACAAATCTATTGTGTGGTTTTTGTACTTTTGAAAGAGGCTTATTGGTGTGCAACGTAAAATCAGTATTAAATGGAATGATTCCTCCTGTAAATTGAGGCGGTGAAGATGTGAGGAAGTGGTTGTTTTGATTTTTTTATAAAAATCTTTCAGAAATCTTGCCATTTTTCCCTATTGAAGTTATATCATAATATGTTGGTTTCTCCCACTGCAACGATAACCTTCTGTGGGCCCCCCACAGAGATAGTTCCTAGCTTTAATCCTTAAGATTTGTTTTCAGAATTGAAGGGACTACATTATCTAAAATACAAGGACAGTACAGTATTGGGGGGAGGGGAGTGGAAAGGTAATGAGGTATACAAAATCTTCCAAAAGTAGAGTTACAATAACATATGTAACTCATTTTAAAAGCTGGTAAATGTTCTGTTTACTTCCCTGCTGAATTAATGATAATTATATGGAAAGTTTTTTGGGGTGGGGGGGAGATATACACATCAGTCTGTCTGCAACACTCTGCTCTGGACAGGAATATCCTCTTCCTCCAGATGTAACGGGCACCCAATAGTTGTTACCAGCAGAGTATTATTTTCTTCCTGCCAGAAGGGAGGGAAAATGTTATTCAGAAAATCATGGAGCACCGTGATTAAAGGAGTACACACTTAAACATTTTTGGAAGTCACCAATTTAAATCAACACTTAACTTATTGCACTCGATAACAGTTTTAGATGTCTGAAAACATTTTTAGAGGATGACAAGTTACATGAAGCATCAACCCCTTATTATGTTGCAATAAATTAGGCTTTAGGAGAATGAAATGCAGCTTGTGCAGTTGGTGAATCATGGCCTTGACATACAATCATGGATGCTGGGATGTTGCTGGAAACAGTGCCTTTACAGAATGAGTTGTGGCACTTTCTATCTATGATGAGAGGATACCTGGATGAAATAACAGATTCAACTGTGTTACACTATACAATGGGGCATTCTGGAGAGGTGGGAGGAAGTGAAAGTGGAGGCCTAGTATTTTTTACGTGCATAAGATGCTATTTTCCAACAAGAGACTTCAAGGCTCCTTACCATGTGGACAACTAGGGTAGGCCACAGTTATTCCATACAGGTGCGATCGTTGATCTGGTAGGAACTCGTCAGTAGTCTGGCCGTTAGCTTTATTTACAACAATAACCCCATCTCTGCAAAGGAAGACAAATTGGAGTTACATGAGAACTCGGTTTTCCTTCTGGTTTATCTGCCACTTGTAGCTGACGTGTACTCCGTACCACTAATACATTAGAATATTCTCACAAGAGGATTCAGGGCAGAGATCATTACTGGAGGTCTATTGAAAATAATCCACAGATTACAAGGAAATCTAAATCCAGTATATTTAGAGACTTGTATTCCATCAGACATATATTCAGCCTTTTAAATGGTTCTCAAAAGCCCAAATGCGTAGGTTAAATTATTTGATCTATTATATTCAGCATCAACGTACTACAGTATAATACTTCAATTTGGTTGTATGCTTTATCGTGGCAAAATGTCCCAACTGAGCCCTGATTTAGGAGTTATTTTAAAATCTGAGTAAGTTTATGTAGGCAAACGCAGCAGCTAATCTTTGTCAGAATCTTTCCACAAACAACAATCTGATGAGTTACTGATTCAACTATTTTAATTAATACGGATGAGGCTAGAACACAGGGCAAACTCCCGGTTCTTCTTTGAAATACAGTAGTGCAATGGAATCTTTTAATGTCCACAGGCAGATGGGACTTTGGTTTAGCATACATTTAAATGAACAGCTCCATCAAAGTTTCATTCTTACCTTCTCCAGTCTGTGTAGTAGAAGTGGTTTGAATAGGCAACAATACTAAAGGGGTAATTTAGGCCAAGCTGTACCACATGTCTTCCTGTGCCATCTGGAAATATGCACTCCAGGTTTTTTGTTCCTTTTGATCCCAGTCGCCAATAAAATCGAACATATTGAGATAAGTGTTAGTAATCTGGGACACATATCACAAGCAGGATTCTTCACTCCCATTTATTTTTAAACCTTCAAAGTCTTTTAAATCGTAATTTAAATTTCATTGCAATATCTGCCAGTTTTGACGATTTTTGAAATCTATAGATTCTGTTTCAAAAATACTTATCTTATGAAACGTACCAGCATCAGCCCAACACAGTTGTAAGGAGAAAGGGTCAAAAGTCAACCCATTGGGCAATCCAATGTCATCTTTAACCAAGACCCTTCTATTAGTTCCATCTATGTAAGAAGTCTCAATTTTAGGAGCTTCGCGATTCCAGTCTGTCCAGTAAAGGTTGCTGCAGGGAAAGAATAGGGTAAGAATTAAAACAATGTTCCAGTATCTAATCTGAAGTAACAACAGCCTGTCATTTAGCTTTTACAGAGCAGCCCATTATCTTTTGAGGTGATCTTAAAAGGAAACATTCGCAAGCCCCAGGCTTATTTCAATTCGAGTGGAACCTGGTGGCTTGGAGTGCATTCTACCCAAAACAATTTAGCACAATGTGAATTCCCCCAACCTTTTAACAATGCAAATAGCAGAAAGTTCAACCATAAAGTCTGGTACCAACATCTGTACAAGATCTCCAATAGCACTTAATTTCAATTGGTGTCATATGTTGAGAAAATCCTGCTATTCATTTGCCAACAACAAAAACTCTATAATTGTACCATCAACTAAACAAAAAACATATTTTTGGGAAGAAAACAACTCTTTACAATCTTCTATTTGACAGAACTCTGAGGAGAAATTAAAATATGCATGTCAACACACCCACTGAGAGAATCCACCACTATTGCTCTGGGGTTCACCAGATCAGTATCAAAGAGAACCCGTCGATGAGTGCCATCCACCTTTGCAACTTCTATTTTATCTGATCCGCTGTCAGTCCAGAACATGAGTCTGCGGAGGTAGTCTATGGTCAGCCCTTCAGGACTAGTCAGTCCTAAAGCAGAAAGAACGCAAGTGATGAGAAAAGGCCATTTAGCTAATGCAGTGCTTGGTGATTACCCGGTGAGGGCACAATAGAAATGCAAGTTGTTCTTGAATCAATCTCTAGTATATTAGTTCTGGCATCCGGGACATCTGATTGCATTTGGAATATCTTCCAATAGTTTTGCTTCTATTATTCTGGTTCAAAGATTGTAAACCATTACTAACGCGGATATAGTTCTAAACTTGCTTTTTGTTTCCTGTTTGTATCCTCTGGTCCTATGCACTTGGCGAATTTTGAAACAATAATCTAGATTTACCTCTTCTGTACAATTGCATATATTGTACTTCACTAAATCCAGCTGCCCCTTAAATGGCCTCTTTGCAGATGAGGTTTCTCTAATCTTTTTTCATCATCATTCCTTTTAACTTAGTTGCTATTTTCCAAATGTTTCTAATGTGCTTCTGGTATGGGGGCAAAAGCTAAACACAGCATTCTAGGCTTTATCTAACCAGGTCATTCTAAAAGCTTTAGCATAACTAGAAGTACAAAGAGGAGATATCAGTCAGTCACTCACTCACTGTACAACCTACAATTTAGAGCAAATGGTATTTGGCCTTGCAGCTGCAATTTAGGTGCCAATTGATTTTTCCTGAGAAACTTTAGAATTAAAAGCTCTACTGATGCCTTTACCCATTAGGCCATAAAGGCACGAGAAGGTCACAGGTTTTGTTCCCAGTTTGTGCTGAGTTCCTCATTCAAAATGGGAGCACTGACTGAGTATTTAACTATGGGAGGCATCACAGAAGAACCAATCCTTTCCTCACTCAACATTTACACATGTGGAAGGTAATGCACACACAAGATTGTGTCCCTTCGTAGGTCATTGGAGATCAGTGAGGAGTGGAAACACTGAATGTCAGCACAAACCAGGGATCTAACCTATGACATTGCTGATCTCTACATCTCAGGATCTCACCATATCTCCCGTATTTCATATGTCTCGTTTACCTGCTCAGCCACCAGGGAATCTCTGAGTTGTGTTTGTTTTGGATTTTAAAATGATAGCACATGACGATTGAAGACATTATATCTGTACACAAATAAAATCATCCTCAACAGATACAAAATAGACTTTAAAAATCAAGTGCTTGTCTCATTTTCTAGGAAAACACAGGGCTGAAATTGATTTTTTCTACTTTTACTCTTATGTAAAAACAGCTAATTTTGCACAGCCTCATAGTCTTCCACCAACAAAACATTTTAGTGATACCCTAGCAATAATAGTAACCCTTATAACTATCCTAGCATTTGATATAGCACCTTATCATACCTTTGTGACGTCTCAAAGCGCTTCACAGAATACTCTATACAGCGTAGTGACTGTCTACTTTATGGGTAAAACGCAGCAGCCAATTTATATAACATAATAATGTAAGTTTCTTTAACAAAATGTTTACACAGAGATATTTGAGGCAGTTCAATTGATTTTGATTGATGTAAAAGCACACCATTTGAAAGGAAATTCTAAAAGGAATTTTTATTACAACTTGCCTGAATTAATCATAATCTCTGGCTCAGCGCCAATTTCCAAACTAATTCGGTTAATGGTCCGACCAGCGACATCAGTCCAGTAAACCATCTTTTCCCGACAATCGTAATCGATTCCAATAACAATGGAACCCTTGGAAGAGGAAAGAAAGACCCAGTAGAAAAAAATAATCATTCAGCACAGCACTAAGGACTTCCCACAACAGAATCCAATGTAGACAAGCTTGGAGACTTGTCTAACAACCAGAGAACTTCACAGGATTGAAGTTACTGACTTGTTTGAAAGGATTTGCATCATTTGTAGCTTGCTTAAGCTACCTGTCTTGTTGGGCATAAATCCCAAATCTCCAGATATAAAGGTAACATGCTGGATCACATACTAAATAATTCAAAACAGCAGTTGGCAAAAACAAAAAAAAACACCATTCGATCACTGTAGAGGTAAGGATTTAAAGTGCTAAAAAGGAAAAGAAAATAGTTTTTGAGGGGAAACAAAACATGTAAAAATGTAGCATGAATTGAGTTGCCTTCAAATCAATGGTTTCTGGGATTTCTATGCAATTGATACACATAAGCTGGCTCACAGAATATAGTGTTACACCGGTTTTATGTATAGACCAAATGTGGCAATGATTTAGTGAGTGTTTAAAAAGAAGCTCTGGTGCCAATTTTTCTGTGTGATCATGCACGTTCACAACATCTGCAGTTGCATTCGATTCGTTTGTAGGGCCAAATGAATGCGCTCAATTTTCCATTCTCAGCTTGACTAATCTTCCCACACTTTTCACTGTAACCAAGAAACCATGGCACTTCCTTTGTGGTCACAGTGGTTTTCACCTCTGGACTGTGGACAGATCTTGCACAGAACAGGTCTGGTGAACTCGAGTCAAGTCTGTGCTTGGATTGTATGAGGAATTAATCTGATTTCAACTTTGAGCTAATCACACATGTGTTGAATAAATGTCCTTGCCCTACCTTTCCCTCCCCTTTTCCAAGTACTAAACAGTTTGGGGTATTCCGGAGGAGAAAGTTATAAAAGAAGGTACATTACATGGAGAGCTAACAAGCTCTTGGCTCCTTCTGTGTTTAGCTGAGTACCATTCAGGGGCAGGTACCCAATGTGCTGTCCCTGAGCATATAAAAGGAAGGTACCCGTAGATGGAGTGGTCACAAGAGACGATGGAGTGGGCTGTACAGTGGGAGGTGCAACCGTTGGTATACCTGGCAAATTCAAGAAAAGAAATGAGAAGCACATTAGAACCATATTTCACTCACAAAGTACACAGTTAATTTGCTTTACAGTATACTCTGTGAAGCGCTTTGAGATGTCTCGGAGTCGTACTAAGATCACTATATCAAATGCAAGGATTATTATTATTTATTACTGTTATAGGTATCATCCTTGCATTTTATACATTAGAAATGCTACAGACGATTACATAATTGCATTTTCATCAAAAGTACAACTAATAAAATTAATGCTCAATAAATATAAGACACAGCATCGAAAGACAGAGCTTTGCTACCAAATTCTTTAACACAGCATTTTTCAGGTACTGAAAATATACTGACCCTTCATTCAATATTCTTATTTTCTAAGAACATATTTAATAAGAAATTATTCGGGTAGTGGGTAAGGGTGGAGGTGGAATTAGATATTGAATGTGATTCTCACCCAGTCGTATCAATGAAGGATTATAAAAATGTACTGCTTTATTTTTAAAAATAGCAATTAATTGCTGGTTAAACCGGGATATCTACAAAGCGACATACTGTGCTGTCTCTGAGACTTTCCGGACTTGGGGGCATTTGATCACGGCCTCGAGTGAGCGGAAAGCTTTAGATCTGTTTAGATGTACATACATATTTATACCCATGGCATTGGTCTCAGCAGAGAGAGCAATTGGGGGCAAGAAAATTATTCCCATTGATGTTGGTTTACACTGAGATGCACGTACAACCCTGCCCAAATTCAGTCATCAAAGTGCAACGTAAATAAAATCAAATTACTGGAGGGCATGCCCTGTTTAAATACTTACAATATGAACTACCATCATAGCTACATCAAAAGCTCCAGCCATCTCCCATTCGGAGTTCTGATCTATCCAATCATTTCCCAATCATTTGTTCCCTAATAGCAATTTTGCAGGTAGGTGACCCCCCTCCCCTCCTCCATCGCACTGCATTATAGCAAATTTATTTTCTTCTTTGAGTTTCTGTTAAATAAAAACTAATTTCACTACCAGAATGAAAAAAAGGTTCTCACATGCTGGAAGAATGCCAGTCTGGGTTCCGGTTCCTTGAATTTCTCGACCATCTTTATCCACACACCAACACACACGGTTTCCACGGCACTGCATGGGACTAAAGTTCCCATACTCGTCACATTGGGGGACGTACTGATCAGCTGATGTCCCGCTAGTTTCCGACATCTGTCTCCATCGCTCACACAGAGTCTGTGGGCGTGTTGTAGGTTCTGAAATCCATTTTAATGTGCCACGTTGAATAGAATTTCCTCACTTTGAATTATAATATTGCTTAACGAGATTATAGATTGAACTAATAAAAATAGTATATAGCCCCAATTTCCAATTCCAACTGCGGGACTAATGGAAATTAGGGGAGCAGCGTTATGAGTTAGATTTGTTTGCACTAGTCATATAAAGCACCTCCTAAGTGGTTTTAATAGGAAACGCAATGGAACATGGCTGCTTGTTTAACTTCAGTGAATGTACGATTTATAAACATAAGACTAATGCAAGTTTTACTGTATATCCAGTATTCAATTAATCAATCTATATTCTTAAATGTAAATGCTTTGGGATTTCTAAATTCTTGTCACTAACCTATTCATTCAATCAGTTGAATTTCACTGTATTATAAATTAATCACACAGCAAATATTTGCATTTAAATCTTTTTTAAAAAAGATAATAATCACAGAATTTAATTTGTAGGAGCAGCTGATTCAAGAAAACTGTTCTCTTTGGCTATGGTCAAGTCCATAGAGTGCTTTGCCTTTACACTGCCCTGGTTGCATTTTAAAAAGATTTGTTTCTGTTTCTTGGCACAGCAGCAGGAAGATCAGTAAGAGAATAATGTTGTATTCCAGGTTAAAATCATTCCTTCCCAAAAAGGAAACCATTGTGACTGACCTGGAAGCCCACACCGTGGTTGATCTGTTCCAGGGAAGCTTCTGGTTCCAGGGATTTCTTGTCCCCTTTCATTCACACACCAGCACTGGCCAATACTGCCGTGACATTGAAGTGGCCTGAATTTGCCGTCTTCATCACACTCAGGAGCATAAAATCCAACAGAAGGTCGAGCTCCATATAGGCTGTATTCTGCATTCACTCTGTCTCGCTGGTCCTCACATGCAGTCTTTGGACGTTCTGTTGGTGCAAATCAAAGGCAAGTTTGACAACTGCTCGCTCTCTCTCCAGATAAATGTAAGCAAGAATGGGGAATACTAATGTCCACCAGCTTTCATTCCACTAATTATTTCACACAAACTGACCATGTTACATCTAATCTATGATGTATAAGGTATCAGTACTACAAAATAAAAAAATAAAAATCAGACTTACTGCACTTTACAGTATATTCTGTGAAGCGCTTTGAGACGTCTCCATGACGTGATAAGGCGCTATATCAAATGCAAAGATTATTATTATTAGCTTATTTTTAAAATACAAATCTCTCCACGCCAATATATTTACTGTTGTACTGTACTGTACCACACTTCTTTCACATATATCAAAATATTACAATAACCTGAGTGTCTTTTCAGCATCACTCTCAATAATCTTATATAAAATATAATAAGCTTCATATATATTATTACAAAGAAAGTAGGACCAGCTGACTCGAGAAAACTGCTGTCTTTGTCCATGGTCAAGTCTATAGAGCGCTTTGCATTTGCAGTGCCATGTTTGCATTTTAAAAAGATTTGTTTCTATTTCTCAGCCCTTCAAAAGCACACTATTGTTTTTAAAAATGTGCTTGTTGTACATTACTGAACTCCTTTTAGAAACAAATTCCACAAAGCAGCAGGAAGATCAGTAAGAGAATAATGTCACACTCCAAGTTAAAATCATTCCTTCCCAAAAAGGAAACCATTGTGACTGACCTGGAAGCCCACACCGTGGTTGATCAGTTCCAGGGAGGTTCTGGTTCCAGGGATTTCCTGTCCCCTTTCATTCACACACCAGCACTGGCCAATACTGCCATGACATTGAAGTGGCCTGAATTTACCGTCTTCATCACACTCAGGAGCATAAAATCCAACAGACGGTCGAGCTCCATATAGGCTGTATTCTGCATTCACTTTGTCTCGCTGGTCCTCACATGCAGTCTTCGGTCGTTCTGTTGGTGCAAATCAAAGGCAAGTTTGACAGCTGCTCTCTGTCTCTTTCTAGATAAATGTAAGCAAGAATGGGGAATACTAATGTCCAACACCTTTCATTCCACTAATTATTTCACAAAAACTGCCAATATTACATCAATTAACCCACCTATATTCCTAAATTACGCATGTAAATGATTTGGGATTTCTATTTAAAAAAAACTGAACTACTCATTCTGTTATCCGATATTCAATTAACCAAATTTCACTGTATTTAGCCAAACAACTGACATATAAATATTTTTAAAAAAGATAAAATCACAGAACTTCATTAGTAAGACCAGCTGATTCAAGAAAACTGTTCTCTTTGTCCATGGTGAAGTCTAGAGCGCTTTGCATTTGCAGTGCCATGTTTGCATTTTAAAAAGAGTTGTTTCTATTTCTCAGCCCTTCAAAAGCACACTATTGTTTTTAAAAATGTGCTTGTTGTACATTACTGAACTCCTTTTACAAACAAATTCCACAAAGCAGCAGGAAGATCAGTAAGAGAATAATGTCACACTCCAAGTTAAAATCATTCCTTCCCAAAAAGGAAACCATTGTGACTGACCTGGAAGCCCACACCGTGGTTGATCAGTTCCAGGGAGGTTTCTGGTTCCAGGGATTTCCTGTCCCCTTTCATTCACACACCAGCACTGGCCAATACTGCCATGACATTGAAGTGGCCTGAATTTACCGTCTTCATCACACTCAGGAGCATAAAATCCAACAGACGGTCGAGCTCCATATAGGCTGTATTCTGCATTCACTTTGTCTCGCTGGTCCTCACATGCAGTCTTCGGTCGTTCTGTTGGTGCAAATCAAAGGCAAGTTTGACAGCTGCTCTCTGTCTCTTTCTAGATAAATGTAAGCAAGAATGGGGAATACTAATGTCCAACACCTTTCATTCCACTAATTATTTCACAAAAACTGCCAATATTACATCAATTAACCCACCTATATTCCTAAATTACGCATGTAAATGATTTGGGATTTCTATTTAAAAAAAACTGAACTACTCATTCTGTTATCCGATATTCAATTAACCAAATTTCACTGTATTTAGCCAAATAACTGACATATAAATATTTTAAAAAAGATAAAATCACAGAACTTCATTAGTAAGACCAGCTGATTCAAGAAAACTGTTCTCTTTGTCCATGGTCAAGTCTATAGAGCGCTTTGCAATTACACTGCCCTGGTCTCATTTTAAAAAGACTTGTTTCTGTTTCTCCACTAAAAAGCAAATTATTTTTAAAAATGTGATTGTTGTACGTTAATGAACCTCTTTTAAAGCCAAATGGCACAAAGCAGCATGAAGATCAGTAAGAGAATAATTTGATACTTCAAGTTAAAATCATTTCTTCCCAAATAGGAAACCATTGTGACTGACCTGGAAGCCCACACTGTGGTTGATCAGTTCCGGGGAAGGTTCTGGATCCAGGGATTTCCTGTCCCCTTTCATTCACACACCAGCACTGGCCAATACTGCCATGACATTGAAGTGGCCTGAATTCGCCTTCTTCATCACACTCAGGAGCATAGAATCCAACAGAAGGTCGAGCTCCATGTGGGCTGTATTCTGCATTCACTTTGTCTCGCTGGTACTCACATGCAGTCTTTGGACGTTCTGTTGGTACTAATCAAAGATAAGTTTGACAGATTCTCTATAACAGATTTACAAAAAAATACAGCATTGAAACAGGCAACTCAGCCCAATCACACGAGGCTCCACCCATTCCATTACTCTATTCCATATCCTTCTATTCGCCTTTCCCTCATATGAAGGTCTAGCTTCCTCTTGATTGTATCTACAGTGATAATAAAATATTCCTTGTATTCGTTTAGTGCTTTATCATGTTATAGAGATGTCTCAAAGCGCTTCACAGGATTTATTGTGAATTGGTGCCACTGTGTACTTGCAGATGAAATATAAAAATTTCATACCAAAGATAGTAAGTTTATAGGAAAGAAGGTTTAATATCACAATTAAATACTTATGTGAATATGTGAATTGGGTATTTTGCAAATAGAGTGTCATAGTATTTGTTTCCAGGAAAAGTAGTTTAATCTATAAATAAAAGCTGTTGGAAACCAGTGTAAAAGTGGCAATTCTTTGGCTGCAATTTTTAAAAGTTTACTGTAAACAATTTTTTTTAAAAAGGATTGTTTCTGGACAACTGATTTTGGAAGTAGATTTTAAAAAAACGCACGATGCAGAACAAACATGTTTAAAATCATATGGAAATGCTGAAAACTACGATGATTTCTGGTCATGTTTCTATGACAAAATATACCCAGAAAATATTTGAAAACATTCCTTCAATCTTTTAATTCTCTGTGCTATTTCACTCTGTATCAGTTTACATTCCAGCTACGGTTAAGGTCAGCATTTTTCTTCATGGACAATTTAAAGCTGTCTTTCTGCTCATAAACCCAGCTTATTTGTCATGAACATTGTGTGGAATATCAGACATAATAAACCTGCAGGTAACTTTACTAACAGTTCCAAATCAGGTTTCTAAACAGATTTCTCTAAACATTACATATTATCTATTCAGCTCATCAGTCTTAGGCCTTTCTCCAACCCATTACTCATACTACATACAAAAAAATCTTGATTTGTCTATGGGACATTACCTCCTAGCCCCTATATTAAATCCTTGTCCTTTCAGATTCAAATCAAATGTTGGTATTCAATGGAAATCTATGCTTTGGCACCAAAGCTAAGCTGTTTATTGACTGTCCTGGCAGCTCAGACTGTGGTTGATTGGAACCAGAAAAACACCTGAATTAGAAATCTCCTGTTCTCATGAGTCTGCACCCTATCAAACAAGTTGTCTTCTTCATGACATTGCAGGGGCAGATCGGGACCAAAATGACACTCTGGTGCATGGAGCTGAAAGCTGCATTAATTTAAACACGAGTTTGGGTTGCAGCTCCACACCATCCAAAGATATACTTGAACGTATGAGCCAGTCGAGGACTGATCTAGGCTCAGTTTCAATGTTCCTGCATTTAAATGGGTTATGGATCAGTACTTGCCAAAAATATTGACTGACCTAATGGCCCACACTGTGGTGGAACAGATCCAGACAGTGATTTGGTTCCAGGAATTTCCCGGCCCCAATCGTCAACACACCAACACTGGCCTGTGCTGCTGTGACATTGCAGTGGAATGTAGTTGCCTTCATCATCACATTGGGTAACATAGCTTCCAAAGTGTGGCCGAGATCCATGGGGGCCGAACTCCGTTGACGTGCTCTCTCGTTGCATCTCACAAGCCGTCTTGGGACGTTCTGTTGGTGCTGATCAAAACAATTTGGTTTTCAAATTATTGCAAAGTAACAGCAGCGAGGGCATTCTGACTTTACACACCATCAGCTTTCCATCAGTCAAATCACTCACGTTAAGCCATTAATACATCTTCTTATACTTTTGTGTGAAGACAACAAAGAAAGTAATCAGAGATCTCTAGCTGGCCACACTTTATACATAAAATAAAGATTCTTGGAACAATTTGTACTGCTCCATTACCATACCAGCCTTGGTAACCTTCCAAAATCAAAACTACATTGACCGACCTGGCAGCCCACAGCGTGGCTGATCCATTCCAGATGGCTTTCTGGTTCCGGGAACTTCCCGTCCCCACTTGTCCACACACCAGCACTGGTTCCTGTTGGTGTGGCACTGCACAGGCCTGAAGTTGCCGTGTTCATCACACTGGGGAATGTGGATGGTGAAATGCGGTCGATCTCCACGTGAGCTGTACTCAGCTTGCAGTCTTTCCCGCTGATGCTCACAAGCAGTCATTTCATGGTCGGGAGTAACTAAGCAAACAAAAAGGAATGTAGACAATTTTACAAATGACAGCAGAATAAAAGCAAAGGCAGAAACTTGGCGTAAGCTCAACTTTTCCACTGATTCAAAGTACATGGAGGGCAATGGAACATGCAAGGGTCAATCATATAAATTTTGGGGCCCTCCTACTAAAGGGTGATCAATAACTTGAGGGCAAAATATAGGAAAAGTGTCCAGTCCCTAACATTGGTACCCCTCATCTAAATTGCATGACATCTGCCACACAGAATGATCAAAAAGGTAGACAATGTTACCTACCTTGGCATTTCAATCTGCATTGAATAGTCCTGTTGAATAATTCAGATTGTTAAACAGGAAATGTCTTAAAACATTTGCCACTTTAAGACCACTGTGAGGCACATAATACACATTAGTTCCTCTGCCTAAGAAACTAATAAAGGAATAAACAAAGGAATATTACTATAACTAAATGAAAGTGTTTGGAAAGAAATGCTGATTGACAAAAGACTTGATGTAAAGAAGGCAAAGTGAACAATTATACAATGAGGACAGGGCGTGTGATGCACACGCAATTTGAAATGTTTTGAAGTGGCAATGTCCCATTGATGTTATCTATAACAGTTTCAGGTATTTGACTGAATGTTAAGGGTAGGGAATATTGAATTAAGACCATACTGACTGACCTGGGAGCCCACACTGTGGAGCATTACTTCCAGGATATGTTCTCGTTCCATCAATCTCCCGTCCCCACGTATCCACACACCAACACTGGCCTTCACTCTGGTGGCACTGCTGTGGCCTGAACTTTCCTGCGTCATCACACTGTGGGACATAATTTCCCGAGTATGGTCTCGATCCACGTGGGCTGAACTGTGTTTGCACTCGTTCCCGCTCCTGCTCACATGCAGTCTTTGGACGGCCTGCTGATTCTAACAGAGGACACTGTTTAGATCATCCATTTAACATTAAACACAGGCTGTGCATTTGATCCTTAAGCCACTTCAGATTAAATGTATCTATAAAATGGTATTATAATGGTAAGTTTCTATATTGAATGCAAAGATTCTTATCACATCACCCAAACGTCTCAAAGCACTACACTGCAAAGTGTAGTGACTGTGTATTCCAGAAACATTTAAGCTGAATATACATCTAACTAAGAAGCCAAATGCCCACATTTACACAATAACCGCATTTTATTTAGAAAACATTCTTTATGGAGGTCAACACTGCATAAGCACATTGGAATTTTTCAAATCACATTAAATCCAGATAAAATATGTGAGTCACTTAATATGAGAAAGAGCAGGGAATGCAGATGCAGCATTGATGGGAAAGTTAGATTACTTACATCTGTCAAATGAGATTACTAAGATTAAAGACAATTTGTTCAATCTTTGAAGGGTTCTATAATCAAGATTTCTTTTAGTTTCAAGGTATTACAGAGACGTTAGTATAACATTTAAAAATGTAATGCTAACTGAAAGAACTTGCATTATTATGGGGCTTTATAATGTTGAAACAAACTTTTCAAGTCACTTCACAAGTAATTAAGCAACGCTGAACTCTTTTGGTCATTAAAGGAATGAGCCATTCGAGCCAGTAAAGACCCACTAACAACCATGAGTTGAGTGACCGATTTATCTGTAGGATTGTTGGCCAGGATACCAGAAAGTACTCCCTTCTCTTCAAGTCATGTCATAAGATCATTAATATAGGAGGAGAATAGGAAGTTGGGGGCTTGTGTGGAGTATAATCACCAGCACGGATTAGTTGGGCCAAGTGGCCTGTTTCCATGCTGTATCACTCTTTGCAATTCTGACTGATTTGTCTGAACAGGGAAATGGAGATCTCAGTTTTTCTCCAAAAGACAGCGAGGTGATCCCCCAGTACCACAATGAAATGTCAGCCTCGAGACTATAAGCTCAAGTTCTGACATGAAGTTTGAAGCCACAATTTTCTGTCACAGAGGAGTCGCTACACTCCTGGGATTTCTGCAGCTGCAGAGCTCAGGAGCAGTCACAGTCACAGCAACAGCCATCAAATTAAACTAACTTCAATCACTCTGAAAGGCCTGTTGCCTGGCCGTACAGGGCATATTCTGGGATCAGCTTCGTAAGAAACCAAATCAACGTAGCAGGTCTCCTCGTGACCAACAATTAGATATAAAAATGAGAATCTCTCTATATGTGTATGTATGAGAGCCGATGAAATGTACATTTCACAGAAATTGCTCCACTCAACCTCTTTAATCCGATAAAACAAAGCATTCCAGGAAATCCCACTGTTCATTTACAGGAAACCGAGCTACTATAAACATTATGTTCTGGATTCTTACCAGGCCTGCACTGTAAACCATCTCCTTCATAGCCAGGGTTACATTGACAGACGAAGGAGCCTGGGATATTGTAGCAAGTAGCAGCTGGGTGACATCTGCCTTCAGCACATTTATCAACAACTGTAACCAAGGCAGCACAGGCACATAATCAGTTTTGTTTAACCTCCCATTTTCCTCTCCTCCCATAAATGAGTGATTCGTGGTGGAATCCAATTCCGTGAGTGACAGCAGTAGGACTCTGCAGCTCAATCAAGTGGTCATTCAATACACGGACGTTGGACATTGAACAATCTTAGGCATAAAATTCATCTCAGTTGAACCTCCATCTTGTCCTCATAGAATATCACATAGAGTCATAGAATATTACAGCACAGCAGGAGGCCATTCAGCCCATCTTGCCTGTGCCGATCCATTGTATCCACTTTCTAGCAAGGAAGTTGGGGGATGGCAATGGATAGCGATCATCAAAAGATCTTTTATCAATCCTTGTGCCTCCATTCTTCAAGAGATAAATCCGTGGTAGGGGGCTGATTGGATGAAAACGTTCTGCATTGTTAAGTCTCTGATAATTTTCTCTGATAATTTTCAAACTGGTGTTTATTCATGTGTTACTGTCATTTCACATTCCCAAAGGAGATTAGTCCTGGTGTTATCTTAGTAATTTTTGCTTATCTTAGAAACTTGCATTACTATTTCCTCACTGTGGACCCTTTTTCTAATGCACTGTGTGTAAACATCACAGCTCAGTATACTAATTGGTGGGAACTCAAATAAAAGGTTGAAAGAGAGCCCTCAATGAACATTTCACTGTGAAGTTAACAAACACCTCCCCCGTAAAACAGAATCTATTTGCATTCTGAATTTAACATGTCTTTTTTGTTGGAATTACTTCAGCTGTTCCTTAATGGCAAGTCAGCATTTATGCTGTAGTAAAAAGATGTTTAGGTTCATGTTGATTTCTTCAAACTAAAAGGTTTGGGGTTAATCAACACGAGGGAGGCAGTTCTTGTCATGTCTGTTGCGTCGCTAACAGCTGTAACTAATTTTGGCAAAATACACATGTCATCTTTAATCCTCAGAGGACTAAAGGTTTTTATTTTGGGGGGAAGAGGGTAAAGGATCTTCCGTTACATTTGCTTTCTACAATGACAACAAGCTCTAACATAATGGTGATTACAGGGCACATTTTGAGATAAGGCTCAAACATGTCCTTGGAGGGATACGTTGAAACAATTCATGTGCAACCTTTTATCCTGAGGTCACAAATAAGATCACGGTTAGACACAATGCCAACAAATCCCTGCCTGTATCTCTTCCTGTAGTCAGTGAGTTGTCAAACTCAACCAAGCTTCCAAAGCAAAGAAGCTTATCCTCTGGGGAGCTCATCTGTAAAATGCGGTAACGATCTGTGAAAGCTATTTTCAGTCAATTTGCTACCATCATTATGTCATACAGAGACAGCCAGACAATGGCTATCATGTTGGGGTAGGGATCATTGCCCAGATTGCAAGGCAGGAGTTATAAAATACCCGAGAAAACGTGCAGCTTTTAAAACAGAAAGTAAAGTAAGATTTCAAATAGTAAACTTCAGGGGTACTCAATTTGGTCAGATGACTTTTGGAGCAGGGATGTTTGCCGAGGTTAGACTGATTAGACTGATGCTGGTTTAATAATAGTAATAATCATAATAGTACTTATACTTGATTTGATACAGCGCTTTATCATTTCATTAAGACTCAAAGCGCTTTGCAGGATATACTGTAAAGTGTATCGTATGGACAAATCGCAGCAGCCAATTGCGCACAGCAAAAGATTTGACCGTGAGATTTGCAAATGGTTAGACGCACAATAGAATTAACTTTTCCCAAATGGAAAACAAGTCACTTGGAAGACTTACGAACACACGTGCGTCCGTCCTCTGCAAACTGGTAGCCGTGGTGGCACTCACATCTGTACAATCCTGGGAGATTGAGACAGGTAGCATGGCTTCCGCATCTGTAGTGACCACCATCAGCACATTCATCAATGTCTGAGATGGAAACAAGAATCTGGTTACCATAGAATTCCCCATGGAGGTGAGCAAGTCAACAAGTCGGCAGGTTTGCAAGTCAGAGAGTTAAGACCTACAAAGGCGTGTAATGTAAGGGTACAGTTGATCCACACAGCTTTAAATACTTAGAAAGCACAATTTGGACAAAGCAGGTCCAAACATTTTTTTTTCTTTTTGAAGAATGTCTTGGCTTAGTCTGAGCCCCAACAAGCATTTTAATTACCAGTTTGTGTAGGAGTTTCAAAATGGTCCAGTTTTGTGCGACAAACGAACTGGCAAAACAAATGAATCGCATCAAGAATAAATGAAAGACTGATTCTTCAAAAGGATCTGAAAAATAGCTTAATAGTTAGGGTATGTGCCAAGACGTTACATTAATGTGCGCCATAGCAATAAAATCAAATGCACAGCAGTCTACCAGAAGTGATGCAGTGCAAAAGATTCTGTCACATCAACGTCAGAGGTAAAAAATAATCAGGGCATAAAACTGCTGCAAATAGGTTTAAACCTGTTTTTTGTTTGATAAAGAGTGCACATTGTTGTGGACATGTTAGTAGTCAAATAATAATCCTTGCATTTTCTTTGATTTACTGTTTCACTGATTCTAACACCTAAAATATCTGAAAAATAGAAGTTCTGTTCTCATCTAGTCTCTCATTATTCACAATTTCTTTGAGTGTTGCCACTTCCAATTCTTGTTTTCTTATCTAGGTTCCAATAGGTTACTTTTGTAATCCCATAGTTGTTTTCCCCTTGGGAAGGGGCAGGTAAACTCTATCTTTAAATCTTGTCGCATGTCTCCTCGCCAACTGAGAACAAAAATGCTGTAGTATTTACCCACCAGTGCAAACTTTGCCATCTCCTTGGTAGCCCTCTGCACATCTGCAAATGTAGGCTTGTTCAGATCCTGGGAAACATTGAGCACTGACGTCACAATCATGGCTTCCATCATAACATGGATTCACATGTTCAGGCTTCAAATCATCTGTCAATGACACATAGAAAAGGATTAAGAATTTCATTTTAAATGTTTTTCTTGAAGAGGAAATTTAAGATTTAAGAAAGTGGGTTTCATTCCATAAAACCATTTATAGGATTATCATAAAACAAAAGGAATATCTATGTGGATTCACAGAGACGGGACACTGAAGTCATTCGACCACCAATCTGCAGAGCTAGTAAAACAGGCAGATTATAGTTAATGACCTGGAACTCATTAAAGAAGCTGATGCCATAGATTATGTTATATTGGCAGGAATAATGGCAACAAAGAATATTCAGTTGCCATGGGCAAAATCAAGTTTTTCAGCCTCCATGCCTTATGATGAGATGGCAGTCCATAATACCACTCACATACCCTAAGACTATTAATCATCAACAAGACAGCTCCTTCCTATCCTTCTCAATCTATCTCCTACGGGGAAAAAACTTCTGTGGAAATATTCGTGGGTCGGCAAATGTAATAACAATAAAATAAAGCGCTGAAACTTTATCCATTCCCACATCTTCAGATCTGGCATCTTTCCTTCGATAGACAACATTCCTTATTATAACTGCACACGATCAAAGTAATGCAACCTAGCAGCGAATCAGAGAATATTCAAAATTAAAAGGTTCAACAGAGTCTATAATTTTCATTTATCCTGACACTAACTTGCATTCATATTTGACCCTATTTAAATATGTTAATCTGAACTATATGTCTATGAATCACAGAAGAACAACCACTTCAAGAAATTAATAATGAAACATCAGAGTCCATTAAACTCTTGCAGAGCAATTGATACCAGGTTAGGAGAAGTCTCCTAAATGTTTCCCATCTAGGGAAATGTCCTCAGTCACAGCAAGACACGTCTTTGAGGTTTGTTTGTCAGCATAATAAACAGGAGTTTGAAATGTACCACTCTCCCAACCATACAGGGTTCAATGTTTTGGCCATTTCTGACTAAACAGCAATTAAAATGCAAATTCAACACTCTGCTCACTTGAGTTTCTTCTTATTGTTTATAAAACGAAAATACTGTAGAAATGCTCTGTGCAGCGGAATGAAAGTCATTAATTTCAAAACTACCAAGTGGCGGAAATTTGCTGTCAAAGAGATGAAGACAGTAACTCCTTGCTAAATAGCTCGCTACCGAGAAATATAGTAATCACTAAAACACAAAGGAAGTGGGTTATATGGCTCTTTATCGTACAAAATTTTTAAATTGTGTTTCCGTACCATGCATTTAACGCTTTTTCCTTTTCTCTACACAACGGTCTTCAGTGGAAAAGCTTTGTGCATTTTGGAAGCTCATTATCATTCTCATGATCTGTTTCACCCAGACACTTTATGGCATCCATTAAATCATTTGACTTCCTGACCTCAGGCCTGTGGCCAATTTATTCACTTACTCACAGTAAAAGAGCTTTGTTAAGATCAGACATGTATGAAGTCTCTTTCTTTCCCCTTTCAGAATGACCTTGGTGTTAGGTCATTTTTCCAATGCTCTCCCCCTTGCCTACTGCCTTTATGAATGTCTGTTTATTGCTCAACATTTGAGCAAATACTTTCTATACATGAAGGAACAATAGGGAGGCAGGGGGTGGAAAGCTTGCAAACAGTTGTTCAATATGTGTTACTGATGAGAAGAAATGAAATGCATTGTTCAAGGTTCTGCTGAACAATGTTTCTGCCCCAGCAGGTGCAAGCAGCTGTGTTGTTCAACTTGCATTCCTTGCATTGACTGCTGACTCCTCAAATCCAACAGCATGGGACCATATTTTTTTAAAATGTCAGCTGTCAGTTTAAATGTCAGTTTATTACTGCCTATCCAAAGCTTCATCATTCAAAGTACACAAATGCATTACATAAAAATTCCTAGCAGTATTCCAGTGTAGATCGGTAATAAAAGAAATAAAGGAGAATGATGAGTTATTTACCTTCGACAGAGCCAATCTCGTTAGTCATTGCATATCTAACCGCTTTCTCCTTCTGATCATATAGCACAAAAACACGAGCAACGTTCAGTTGCTGAGTGGTCGGAAAAGTCCTCAATGAATGTTCGCAGTCATGGTAGGTGATATTCTGTCTCAAATCATATCTGAGTGTCTGTGTCTCACCATCACTGGAAAGAACAGAATACTCTCTGTTGGCTTTAGATGTTATAACTGTGAAGAGGAAGTTTGGAGAAATGAGAAGCATCTGTCCCATTTTGAGGAGTAAAGAAAATTATGAATCAAACTAAGACAATGACAAACACATTACAAACAGCCTTCTACGTTCTGTGCTTTTATTTGGGCCTCATTAGCAATGTGTCAGCCTATCCACAGGGCTCTTACACACAGGCATAAAATGTAAAATTATTTTATTCAAGCTAATTTTTAATATTCACAAGGGTTTGCTTTACATTGTAACTTCTTAGAACCCTTACTGGTAAAATGCCAGCTAGCTATTTGAAACTAAATATAATTTAGCGTATAAGCACAGGTAAACGATCAAACTGTGCCATGCCCACGACCTTAAAGTCGACAACAGGGTAAACTCAAAATCTTTAGGGAACACAAAAACAATCGTCTGAATATTTCTGACCAGATCGTTCAGCTTATTCAACAAAGGCAATGGTCTTCCCATACCTGAGTTGGAGCGATGGTAGACTTCCCTATATGGCTGGATCTGAACTGAAGCACCACGGGGAATAACAGGGAGTTGGCCCTCAATCTCCATGATAACACTCAGGTAGCTCTGTGTATCCAGACCCTGAGCGACTTGTATTATATTTAACCTCTCATTGCCTGGATAGAAAGTGATGTCGACATTCCGGATGAATTTAGCTCCTACAAAACACAAATAGATAGCTTCAGCAAATTACTTATAATTAAGCAGAGTGAAATTCCATTGATCGATAAAGTTACCAATCTTGTTAGGGTGTGCTTATAATGGGGAAATATATCATAAATATAGACCGTTTGGTCTCTTTCTGTGTTGAGTTAGCTCCTCTCAGCCAGGTTGCTAGCAATTATCATTATAATGATACCCCGTAATGCTAAGGTTGATAACTTTACTGACCAGTAGAAATGTGTACTAGATTAGTTACCTTTTTTTGGAAAAGAAACACTTCCTCTCTTCCTCCCTTCCCTCCTGTACCACTTATTCGTGCCAGAGTAGTATCATGTGTTTTTACTAAAGTCCTTTACCATGCTCGAGTGGTCTTTCTTCAAGCATATTTCAACCATGCCTACCACACAGCTAACCCACAACTTGTTCTCACCCAACACTGGATGCACTCATCTCTGTTCGTATCAGTGCAAACCCCGTAGAATGGACACAATAACCATTGGTTGAGTTTGCAATTAAAAAAAATCTGATTCTCTTCCGCAAAGATGTAAATGCAAAGAAGACCACTGTTAGAATTTGTAGAACATTTTTAAAATTTTTACTTATGATAGATAGTACAGAATATACACACACAAACAGATATAGGCGAGTTCACATATCTGTGTGTGTGAGTCACTCCTTTTCATTCCTGACTATTAAGCCACTCATTCAAATCCTCACTAACTCTTTTCACACACTGTATTTTAAACTGTCAGCCCAGACATCCCAGTACACAAACGCAGTATAACTATCACGCTGGGTTTCAGTCTGCCATCCATTCAGTGGCGCATCTTGATTAAGTGAAAATTTGATTTGACACTGTTTCCCCATTGTTTTTGCCACCCTTTGATGTCTGTAAATAGTTTGGGAATCCTTCCTCCCCGGATATCTGCTCTGCTTCTTCACATTCCAATATCCCAAAACATTTGCACTTCCAAAAAGGGCTCTACTGAATAGTGATCAAGAATCCTGGTTAATTATCCCCTTCCCTGTTTCAAGGGCACTGAAAACCTCCTCTGGAAACCTGAGTGAGAGGGGTTAACTCAGCACAGAAAAGGGGCCCAGTGATGTTCCTTTTGGATCCAAGACCCAACCATACAGTGTATCAAAAATATGGAATAATAATAATAATAATCCTTGCATTTGATATAGCGCTTTTCACGTCGGGAGGACGTCCCAAAGCGCTTCACAGAACACACTGTAAAGTGAATTGACTGTATATTTGTGGGCAAACGCGGCAGCCAATTGCGCACAGCAATGTCCCACAAACAGTCGTAGATTGAAAATGACCAATTTATTATTGTTTTTTGTTGTTTGGAGGGATTATTATTAGACGTGTGGAGTAAGGAAACTTGCCCAAGGTTTCGCCCTGACGGGAATTGAACTCAGGTCTCTCACTTGCAAAGCGAGTGCTCTAACCACTGAGCCACAGGACTCCAAATACTGAATACTGGAGTAACAGAATAGAAAGGAAAATAAAGAAAAACAATGAGTTTTCTTCCCAATGTTGGTATTCAACATTTTGGTTAATTTAACTTTTTCTTAAAACATAATTTTATTTTCAGGGCCATGACAAGTTCCAAGAACACAACTTAGTAAGGAGAACCTAACAGAAAGGAAGTCTGGGCAGCTAGTAAACTGGTGGGCTTCCATACTAATTCAACACTGTTGATTCACCTATAACCTCACTAACAACATCCTTAGAATGGACAAAACTCCACTAACAATGGGGTTTGTTTTGAACTTTTCATTGTGTTTCAGGCAAACTGAACCAGTCATCCAAATAGTTCCACATACAGAGTAAATCCTAGATACAAGCCAATATAAAGAGAGTCGTATACCTAGTGTATTATCCCTCTCACTCAGATGATTGTGAAAGTGGACTGTACTTGCTCTGTAGCAGCGACAGTGTCAGGAAACCTTCTGTGTTCACGAGCTCTTGCGAAAGGAAACAGATCCCATAAAAGAAGTGCTAGACTCGATTGAATTTGGCTTTACATAAACATGTTCATTAAAAACAAGATTGAACCCATTACTTTAGTTGCTGCAAAGTGATGAACTTTTTTGGGAGTCGGATGTTTTCTGGCATTGGTTTGACCAACTAATACTCTATATGACACTAACCATACATTTATCAATGGTAGAAGTCTCACATCCACATTTTATAAACTATTGTTATCCAAAGTAACAGAATTTTTCCAAATATTACAAGCAAATTCAAGCCAAATTACTTTTATTCAAAAGTACCTGATCTGTGTCGCAATCAGAATGAACACCTCCATATCTAAAGCAATTTCTGTACACAAAATACAGGGATTCCTGTACCTAAAAGTGATAAAGATTTTTTGTATAACTTTCTGTATAAATTAAGCAACATAAATGATCTTACCTGCCACACTGAAACCATTTTTGAAGCCTGGTTGCTGCAGTGCAAAGAGCCACCCAAAAAGACCTCCAATTGCTGACAATGGTTGCAGTGCCCAACCAACTGACTCAGGGATATGACTGATTGCCGTGTAGGCTCGCCCATCACTTACAACCACGTAGGCGTGCAGGTCGGCATTACGAATCTCCACAGGTGTGCGGCTGGCTCCAACCACTAATTTCCCATTTACTTTTCCATTCACACGCTGCGTGGTACCTGCAGAGATATTAATAAAAGAATTGTTTCAATGTATGGCTGCCAATTGTTAAGGAGTTACTAGGTACAAAGAAACATTAAAATGAAGTTCTAAAGTGTAATGAAATATTTTAATGACTACCTTCTACCAGACATTGCCGTCCATTTCCATAGTAACCAGAATGACAGTGGCAGCAGAATCCACTTGAGTAATCTGCACAATAGGCATATTGGGAACATTGACCCTGGTTTCTTTCACAAGTTTCTCGAGCATCAGTACTGTAAGTGAAAACTGAAATACAAAGAATGCCTTTGTTAGTTTTATTTTTGGTCAGTAAGAATTCTGACACATGCCATTCTTATCCTTCGCAAGCCTCATTGATCCTCATCAGCTACTCAATGGGCATCAAAACCCTAATACCCAACCACTTTGCAAAATAGAATAAAATGTTACAATAAATTAGTTACTCTTATTTATTCTCTACCATCACTATTGCAAACCTCTTTACTAAGATGTTCTTCTCCATGTTTCATCATTTTTCAAACACTGCAGTTTGGTTGCTGGTATAAATTGGCTTAACGCACATCATGATTTTAATTGACATACACACAACCACGACACATTCACTTAAGATTAGCCTAAAAGTTCCGATGTTGGAAATACAAACAAGAATCTCAGTACACTTGTGCGCTAGTCTGTGTTTCCACCAATAGCACAGAATTATACGGGGCACAATTCTAGGAACCTTCTAACCACAACTTTTTAACCAATTTTTCTATCCACTTACCACCGGTGCCCAATTCTTCTTCTTCTTCCACGCTGACCACATGTCTATTAGATGCAGCTGGTAATGGATTTCCAGGCAAAGGTTCCGCCTCAGGGTATCTCTCAGATTGTCTCTCAGATTGCCTCTCAGGGTGCCTCTCAGGGTGCCTCTCAGGTTGCCTCTCAGGGTATCGGTATCTCTCAGGGTGTGCTGCCCCAGGGTTGGGGTATCTCTCAGGGTGTGCTGCCCCAGGGTTGGGGTATCTCTCAGGGTGTGTTGCCGCAGGGTTGGGGTATCTTTCAGGGTGTGTTGCCCCTGGGTTGGGGTATCTCTCAGGGTGTGTTGCCCCAGGGTTGGGGTATCTCTCAGGGTGTGTTGCCGCAGGGTTGGGGTATCTCTCAGGGTGTGTTGCCCCAGGGTTGGGGTATCTCTCAGGGTGTGTTGCCCCTGGGTTGGGGTATCTCTCAGGGTGTGTTGCCCTGGGGTTGGGGTATCTCTCAGGGTGTGTTGCCCCAGGGTTGGGGTATCTCTCAGGGTGTGTTGCCCCAGGGTTGGGGTATCTCTCAGGGTGTGTTGCCCCAGGGTTGGGGTATCTCTCAGGGTGTGTTGCCTCAGGGTTGGGATATCTCTCAGGGTGTGTTTCCCCAGGGTTGGGGTATCTCGCAGGATATGATTGTCTGGTATCAGCTTCTGAGTATCGCTGAGGATTTGATGAACCAGCCTCTTGGTACCTCTCAGGATACAATGGTAAACCCCTGGCCTCAGGATAGGATGACACCACTCCTGCCTCTGGGTAACCTTCAGGATGTGGTGGAATAATGCCTGCATCTGGATACGGTGGTTGTTCTGGAATATTATGAACCCTTTCCCGTGGATCAGTGGGTGCTAAAGGTGAGAAATCAAACGTTTCATCGTCGTCTTCATCAAATTCTTCATCGTAATCGTCAACCTCGGGGTAATCAGGTTCAGGTATATGAAGTTTCACTGGGCCATTTAAGGTACTGTCTAATGTCACAATATTCTCTCGTGAAGGTTTTTCTCCAGCTTGCGCTTGCATTACATTGTTGAACTGGGAAGCTCCACCAATGTGGAAAATCCATACTCCTCGAGTACCTGAATTACCCATCCTTCAGGGATCAAAATACAACAGGTTTAGAGTCTATTTTACTGTGCCTGTCTGAATGATATGCATTATATTATATATATAAACAAAATGTTACAAACATTGGCGCTGGTTTTCTTTACTTTCTTTTAAATCCTGAAATATTTTGTTGTTTGGTTTCCAACATTGATTTCCTGATCTGCCATTCAAAGAAATATTAATTCAACACACACAGACTTTATCAATTATTTAGGCTATCACAAGCTCTCACATTTCTGGAAGTTACAGAGCCCTCAGTTTTATGGATCTTTAAAACTGGGTATTCGTGGACATGTAGAGACCAAGGAGGTTAAATATTCTGCATTTCTTACTGCATGTAATAGAGTTGGCTGGCAACATTCATACAGAAAGACATGCCAAGCAAATGGTTCAAATTTCAGTAAACAAAATCTGGCTAGCAATTTAATTGTTTGCTGCTCAATAATGAAAGAGGCGACACTGGACAAAGCTGAGAACGAAATAACTAGGTCTGCAAAAAAGGGTCTGTGTGTTGGACACAGGACACAGCTTGAGATATCATCCACATGATTTAATGTACATCATAGCCAACATATTCTTTTGAATTGTACAAATACCCTTCATACTCACTGATAAAGATTCTTCACACTTTGCTCATTGCTTGTTAGACTGTAATAAGGCTCATCTCTCTTCCATTGTATGTACTCAGTTTCTCCTCTGCTGAAGCCCACCCGAGCAGGTAGTTCTATTTGAACGTTGTAGGATTCCTTGGGACGAGTTCCAAAGAACTGCAGCCCATCTTCTGGGTATAGAAAGATTGCATAGGTGTTTGACTCATCAAATGCCAACACTGCCTGAAAGGTATTGAACTAGAAGAGAGAAATATGCACAAATCCCATTTAGTTGTATGAGACGGACAACCTTAAGACATCTCAGAAAAGTGATTCCCTTTAAATATACAACCTAAATAGTAAACTGCACAATGCACACGTGGAACCAGTATTAAATCTAAAACTACTGTCCTATTGAGTAACATTTGTACAGTAACTGAGAACATCTGTGTGTTGGGGGGATGGCAGGTTCTCAAAAAAGCTAACAATCATATTTAAAGTTACTGATCTTGTAAACATACATTCAAAAGCAACAGCAACATGCCTATTAAGTTTTTGTCAAATTTAATGCCAGATTCCATGCTGGTTTAGTGATGGCCCACTATGGTTACCCTTTAGCAGTTCAGCTCAGCAAGGAGACACAACATTGTCTGACTAAGGTTCCCATTGGGAGACGGGTGGAAGCAGAAAGTGTCGCTTCTTTTGAGAGCAAATCGGATAAGATTTCTATTAGGAAATAATATCTTGGGATACAATATATAGCTTTGGGACACAGTGTGTCAAGCAGCTGCCGGGATGGAGAGGGCGAACTGATTGGACCTGAGTCTCGCCTAGTGATGTTGTACTTTCCATCAGGAAAGCTCTGCCAGTCAATGGTGCCATGCCACCCAACCCAGTGAGGAGCCGACACATCTCCTCCAGCTGCCACCTCCTCCCGTGCCAGCCCTGGGTGACGATGACATTTGCCACCTTTTTTCTCATCCCTTCTTACCCTGTTGGAGGAGGGAGACGAGCGCGTCACTTCCTCGTAAGGCGCCACGTTCTCCCAAGTGGCGATGAAAGCGTCGCTGGGGCTGAAAGAGCTGCGAGGGAACCCTCTCCTGATCTCCCGAGCAGCGCGATGGAGGATGTCAGGAGAATCGTCCGCCCTGTAAAATATCCGCCCTCGGCCACGACTTGTGTCAATGTCTGATAAGTACGCCGCTATGACAGGGAAATCGGTGGGGAATCCGTCATCCACATACTGTGTCTCCATGGGAAAGTCCTGGGTGGAGATGATCCCATTCGTTCCAACCTGAGGATGCAAGGATCACAACAGTAGCTATCATCCCCAACCAATGGATAATAATAATATAATAATAATCCTTGCATTTGATATAGCGCTTTTCACGTCGGGAGGACGTCCCAAAGCGCTTCACAGAATATACTGTAAAGTGAATTGACTGTATATTTGTGGGTGAACGAGGCAGCCAATTGCGCACAGCAATGTCCCACAAACAGTCATGGATTGAAAATGACCAATTTATTATTGTTTTGGGTTTTGGAGGGATTATTATTAGGCTCTGTGTGGAGTAAGGAAACTTGCCCAAGGTTACAACGATTCAAAGCTGGTCTTCTCCCCCCACCCCCCCCCAAAAAAATCCCCACCTCAATGAAAGGAATTAACACCCCCCACCCCACCCCCCCCAAAAAAAAGCAAGATTTCATTTCGATTCAGATGCGATTTTAGTGCAGTTCTGAGCAATTAAGACTCGATCACCTTCAAATATTTTTTATATTTTTTTTAAAAAAAGGAAATTCTGGATTTTGTCTCTTGAGACTTGAAAACTTTGGGGATGGGGCGGATTTCAACCCTCAGGGGCTCTCTCTCTCTCTCTCTCTCTCCTGTCAAGTGCCTTGAAAAAGCTCATCCATCGACCAAAACATTATATAAAACCACTGGAGCGATTTTCAAATGAATGCAACGAACACAGAACCGGTCCATCTCATTCCAATATCTGAACCAGGCTATAAATTTTTTTTTAATTTTTTTTAAATAAATACATTTTAAGATAAAATTCTCAGCAAACAAATCACATCACTGTATTTGGATCTGGGCTTTAAGTCACCGGAAAAAAAAACAAAAAACATCCACTCCCAGTTATGGACTTGCAACCGTAATAAGAGACAACAGTTCCCAGGTCCCAGTTTGGGAAAGAGGAGGAGGAGGAGGAAAAAAAAAAGACAAGAAATCTAAAATCAAACACAGCAGTAAAATGAAATATTGGAAGATGCAACTTACATAAAGGCTACGGAACTGAGTGTCATAAAACATAAGTGGCCTTTTGAGCTTCACAACTTGAGATGTCTCATCATCGCCTTCCCCCAGGATCAGGTCCCCTCTGTGTGGACCAAAGGGGAAAAGATCTTCTCTCTGGAGTGCATGGACCGAGCTGAGGATGCAATGGAGTTTTAGCAGTAAAACAAAGCCCCTGTCTGGCATCCTCTGCACTCAACTGATGCTCGTTTTCCCCCCAAATGAATATGAGACAGAAAGCGGTTTGTGTCCGAGCTCTGCAAAAAGGGTTTTATAGCTGTGCTGATGCTGGAAAGTTAACCCCGGAACTTCCCTGGAATTACAGCCAATAGTTCCCCCTGAACTGCCTCAATCCCGACCTCTCACTGGTCGTCTCTGATCCTGACTGACAGCCCTTGGACTGTACTCCCCACATCAGTTAAACATCTGGTTCCCATTATAAACTTTGTCCAGTTTCTCTTGGAACTTTTTTTTCTTTTTTTGATTTTCCTTTTAAATGCTCGAGACGTAAAGAAAGTGCCTGGCAAAAAAAAAAAAAAACTATAGCTGGAGATGTTATTTTTTTTTTTTGGATGGGGAGTGGGAAGTCCTGGCATGAACTTGTAGGAAAAGCACCAACAATCTCAGCATTGAGTGTTTTTTTTTTTTTTTACATTGCACCATGAGCTGGTGATGTGGGTTTGGTGACTGGTTATATTTCAGAAGCCAGGGATTTTCGTGTCCATTGACACGTAGCAAGTAAAGGCAGCATCTTATTAAAAAAAAGTGGACCTACAGAGTTTGAGGCACTCGAAGGTGTCAGATATCAATTTTTTTTGGTATCGGTTGTTCCCCTCGAATGTTTAATTTGATGTGACTTATAAAGGGAGACTTTGCCAAACGTGTGTGGTGGTGGTGGTGGGGGGGGGGGGGGGTCAACTAACGGTCAAATGATAAATGTCTGTACTCCCAAGACGGTTGTCTTGAACGGCAACTGAATGGTTTAGCTTCTGTATCGTCATTTTTTTTAGGGCGGTTACGATCTCAAAGTTTCCTCACAGGATGTTTTGAAATCTTATCTTCTTCCCGAGCCTTCTCCAAGAGCTACCTATTGAAAGGTGGCTCTCAATCAGATTATAATCCCAAATGTTCATCGCCCAACCGACTGCTGATGAACCATATAATAGTTTGAAACAATGGATGATTGGTAAAATTCACTGTTCAAATAGGAAATAAATCAGACCCACTTCAAACAACAACTTGGATTTATATAGCTCCCTTCACGCACGATAAATGTCTTGGAGCACTGCACAGTAGCAGGCTGGACACCAAGTAAGCTCTAAGAGTAAGTCCTTAAGTGGGATTTAAAGATAGATAAATATACTTCAAGATGTAATCATATTTCTAGATCAGAATTCAAGATTTGAAACATACTGACAAGTGACATGTCTCTGAATAAGAAAGTGCATGAATTGGTCCACAATAAGGCTTATTGTTGTTGTATATAATATAGTTTGGTGAAATCTTATTTCAGGTTTGTTTAAGTATTGTGGAATATGTAATGATTTGAGGTCAGCAGGATCCACTTCAAGTTAGTACAAATGACACAAATAAGCCCACATGCAGATGTTTGTCCCTTTTTTATGGTAAGAAGTAGTCTGAAATATTCTCGATTAATTATCCTAAACTGCCCTTCGATTAATTGTCCTCACAATTTCAATGTCAAAAGCAATACAAAAGTAAGTTTAGTGACAGCTGAATTGGATAATGCAAAGGGTGTGGGGTGGCATTCGGCTGCATAAAATGGAAAGGGTAGGATACAAATTAAGTAATTGCATTTTCCCCCAAAAAACATCTATTACATGATAGCAGTGATAATAATAATAATAATAATAATAATAATAATAAAAATAATAATAATAATAATCCTTGCATTTGATATAGTGCTTTTCACGTCTTCTAGACGTCCCAAAGCGCTTCACAGAATATACTGTAAAGTGAATTGACTGTATATTTGTGGGCGAACGCGGCAGCCAATTGCGCACAGAAATGTCCCACAAACAGTCGTGGATTGAAAATGACCAATTTGTTATTGTTTTGTTTCTTGGAGGGATTATTATTAGGCTCTGTGTGGAGTAAGGAAACTTGCCCAAGGTTTCGCCCTCTGCCTGGAATTGAACTCAGGTCTCTCACTTGCAAAGCAAGTGCTCTAACCACTGAGCTACAGGACTCCACGTACAGAACTACAGCTACAGTGATCAAGATACATCATTTAAAAAAGAAGACAAAGAAAGAATGTGCAACAGTTGTGTATTGTGGATTATAATGATTGTTGAGGGAATTATTATGACAGGAGTTTGTACTGTTTTCCTGGCCAGCAATCCTCCAGATAAAACTGGTTTTCACTTCATGGCTATCTGTGGAACATTACTGTACACAAATTATTTGCCTACAAATACATGGTCACTACACTTTACAGTAAAATCTTATCAAGCACTTTCAGAAGTTTTCATGATCACAAATACAAGGATTATTATTATTGTCAGCATGTCTTATACAGTGTCTGAAATTATGTTTTGTAGAGAGTGGAAAGTCAAAAATATTTGGATAAACAGAGAAGATGTTGTATGGTTGCAAATGTTGAAAATTGAATCCTGTACTTTTTCCATTTGGAGATTGACAAAGGTTGTCATTTATAAAGATTTTGAGCACTCATCAACTTGCATTTTTTAGCTGATGTTTCATGTTTCATTATCATGCTGAAGTGGATTCTAACAATCTTTAAATAGAGACTTGATCCTGCAAACTACTATCTCTGGTAAAAGTAAATACTTTCTACAATATGACAGCTTGCTGAGAAGCAAATTACGAGGACTTCAGCCTCTTGTTACTGACCTACAAATAATGTAAGAGACATCCTGGATTACCACTGGCTTCTGTCCTTACAACTTTTTTCTGTTCCTTAATGCGTAACTGAAAGCAATGTCAGAGGCACTGTCAGCTCCTCTCGAGGAGGAGACAGAGTTTCAACTCAGGGTAACTTTGGCTGCACCAGATGGACGTTCAGTTGTTTCAAAGGTGTGGGCTGAATAAAAATCCAGGGTAGAGCCATTAGCTTGAGATAGAGATGCAATCGGAGAGGTTGTATCATGAGCCCAACTAAGTGAGAAGCCATTCTTTGATAATTCACACAAAGATCCCCCTCTAATATTCTAATATTCATCAGTTTTGTAACAACCAAGGAGTTAAATCAGGATTAGCTGGCCTGATATCCACATCCAGATGTTTCATTCTGATTGACTTATTCTCTTGTTAAGCGTGATATCCTCATATTACATCTGGTTTGTTGTTAATTGTACAACTGATCAATTATTGTATTACTACTAATAAATAGCAGATCTTCCTAATAGACCTTAAATCCATTGCAAATGTACTTCAGGTCATTTGCCCCAAATTAGGATGCCAACAACCTGAGATTATCCTTCAACCTGGGAACAGCTGATACGAAGTATTTTGAGATGTCTTGACGGCACAATAATGCACTATTCCAAATGCAAGAATTAATATTATTATAAATGCAGTATTCATTACTTGGTGTGTTAATTGACTTTATTAATGCTTTGCCTCTGGATGGAAATGGTGTGGGCTCAAGTGCCATATATGAGGAACATATGATCATTTCTGTTACTGATAACCCAAGCTAAAGTAAGGAGCATGGAAATGTTTGAAAGGTAGTCCACTGGATAAAATGTTAAACCAAGATCAGAGTGTTTATGCCCTGATGGGTAAACACATCATATGGCAGTAGCTGGAAAAGAATGGGTTAATCCCAGTCCATGTCCTGCCAAGGAAACTCTCCTATTACAATGCTCGTGCCAAAGTGTAAATGAAAAATGCAAAAATACAGTGAATTTAGGAACAGATGTTGGATATGCATCTTAACTCTGCCAAATCTGATGGCCATTTGGAATGTTAAACATTCTGAGTTCTCCCATACCCCTGATCTCACCCAGGACTGCAAACCACCTTTGACCCTTGATTGAAACTAACAGAATTTCAGAGTCCTGGTCAAAAGCATTCACACAAAGGCTCCACTCCAGAAACACATGCACCTAATAACTGATGTTGCCTCCCCAGATCACTCCTATCTCCTAAAGCTGTCTATATAGGTTTCTAGTGCGTTGCACCCTATTGTACACAAACCGTGACAAGAAATCATGATGACATATCTCTTACTGCTGACGAGACCCAACACTTTTTACATCTCCACAAGAAGCATTCTCCAAATGTGATGCATTCCCAGGCTTGCTGTGGCAGCGTCCAGTCCCACATTTCAGTCTGTTCCCACCACATTAGGGCCAGCAGTGAATATTCAGCTGCTACTCCTGAAAACAAGAATTCACCATTGTTTTTCAGGCATACGGTTTACAAATAATTATTCCCTACCCCTTTCGGGAATTGCCAACTAATCTGCACTTATTGCTACATATCCCTCATATTGCATACTGTCATTCCAAATTTGGAGTCCTTGACAGAGTAATATAGGTACACCTTGAATTTTTGAGTCGCAGGAGGCTGCTAACACTAATTGTACCCAGTTACACTTAAATTTAAGGAATTCCTTTGAGATGAGATGGGTATCTTGCAATTGAGTTACATGGTATCTCATTCTGAACAGCTTCTACATGTTCTTCTCAAAGTGGCAAATTCCTTTCGCATTCCAACTGACTAGTTTGAATGAAACTAATTTAACTAGACATAGGCTTAGATAGCTTGTATCTGGAGGGCCGAAGTGGACTATAGCCTCAGGGCGTGACTTAACTTGCTGTGGCTAAGATTTTTCTCGGAAGCCTCTAAAGAACATTTATTTAGTGGCCTTCACGTAGAGCAATGTTTCATAGCGCTTTACAGAGGTAATGCCAAATACTGAGGAAAGAGGGTGGGGAAAGAGGAAGGAGGGTTGACTATAGGCACAGTTAAAGAAATAAGTTTTCAGATGGCTTTCTAGGTCCATGGATGATAAGCAGAGCGGAAGAGCAGAAGAGTGAGAGTGAAGAAGATCACAGAGATATGAGAGGTGCAAGGAGATGATTTGTAAGTCACAGTGAGGATCTTGAAGTCACTCCGCTGGGAGCCAGGGAAGCCTGGTAAAAGTGGAAACATATAAACCTCTAATGTCACATTATTTAATAAAACAAACACAGAGATTTGTATAAATTAAAATCTGTTCCTTCCTATCTCCATAAACAATTTGAATTAACT